TGAGAAATATAGTTGATAGCCTAACATGTTCAGACGTGAGGGAGAAGGGAAAAGTGAGGGGTTGAGGGGGGGGGGGGTGGGGGGGAGAGAGAGAAGAGGTGGGGCTCATGTGGAGCATACACACTGGCACAGATTAGTCAGGATGGATGGCATGTATCCGTGCTGGATGACGAACTACTATCTTCGATTATGTTGCATAAACTTAGTTGTTATTCCCTTGGGTTTAGAAGGTTTGAGGGATGATCTGATTGAGGTGTTTAAAATACTAAAGGGATTCAATAGCGTAGATACAGAGAAACTATTTCCTCTGGTGGGGGAATCCAGAACAAGAGGGCATAGATTTAAAGTTAGAACTAGGCCATTTAGGAATGAAATTAGGAGGCAATTTTTCACCCAAAGGGTAGTGGAAATCTGGAACTCTCTCGCCCAAAAAGCTGTGGATGCTGGATCCATTCACATCTTCAAAACTGAGATGGATAGATATTTTTTGGGTCAGGATATTAAGGGATATGAGGCAAGGGTGGATAATTGGACTTGATCTTATGGAATGGCGGAACAGGCTCGAGGGACTGAATGGCCTACACTTGTTCCTATGTTTCTACTTTGGAGTAGGGACGCCTTGGGACGTCTTCCCGACGTGTAAGGCGCTATATAAATGTGAATTTGCATTGTATTGTATCTATGACACAAACTGTTCCTCTTCGTTCTTCAATCCAACTCGAACTGAAAAAAAATCCGATTCCCCATCAATACCACCAGAGCCTGTGAACTTTAAATATCTGCTTCCTTTATTACAATTCCCTCTCCTCTCGGGCACTGTTAAGAAGCAAAAACTTGCACAATACAATGGATTATGATCACCCTTTTGCTGAACCACGACCCTGATAGTGAGACCAACTGGTAGTACAACAGCTGAAGTTAAATCCAAACAGTAAGAGGCCAACCAAACATTTTTGAATACCCCTGTGGCCCACTATAGTCCTTCTCGCATTTCAATCACAGAATCACAGAATGTGGAATCTTGCAGCACTGTGGTTAAGAGCGAGAGAGTTGCTGGGTTCAATTCCCGGCAGGGCAAAACCTTGGGCAAGTTTCCTTACTCCACACGCCTGATAATAATGCCTCAAAAAAAAAATTGGCCACTTCAATCCACGATTGTTTGTGGGACCCTGCCGTGCCCGATTGTCTGCCGCGTTTCGCCCCAAAATATACAGTCAATTCACTTTACAGTAGATTCTGTGAAGCGCTTTGAGACGTCTAGAAGACGTGAAGAGTGCGATATCAAATGCGAGGACTATTATGATTAATTTGATAATGAATAAATCTGCATTTGATGTCATTGCCAATATACTGTAAAGTGTAGTGACTGTATTTTGTTGGACGAAACATTGAAGCCAATTACGCAAGGCAACGTACCACAAGCATTGAGTAACCAAATTAGTATTTTTTTAAAGGGGTTATTACGATCCTCCAATCGACTAACAAACCGGGTTCCTACTTGCTAGGTAAACAGAGGCGTGCGTGTGGAGTTTGAAACTTGCCTAAGGTTTTGTCTTGCCCGGGAATCAAACCCAGGTCCCCTGGCTCGCAAGGTAAGCTCTCTAACCACTACACTACAGAACAACATGGACTTAAAACTGTAAATGCGGACAGCAATACATAATCATCATACCGTCGCGACGTCTCAAAGAGCTTCACGGGATTTGCACTATGAAGTGTAGTGACTGTATTTTTACAGGCAAACACCTTCCGCTTTTCCTCCACTCTTACGGTTTGATCTGGTTAAACTCCAGCAGTACTCCCAACCCTCGCAAGGCTTGGATCTTGCAAACCTGTGTCTAATAATCTCTGGAATTAGATAAACAGGGTGCGTTCCTACGGCTGGCGGGGGTTGGGGGGAGAGAGAGAGAGAGAGTGTCTATTCCATTCCAGAGACGAGAATTTCCATGTGTACACGGTGGAACTCTGTCTGGTTTGGATACTGTGAAGCCTTGTGATGGGTTTCCACGTGCGTCAGTCACTTGGCTCAGCAAAAACAAGACGTGACGGCAACAGCCCAGCAATGATTAAAAAGGGCATATTCTGTATTTCTCACTTTGTTGCCACTATCAACAAGTCGCCAGATTGTAAGATTGAAACTGCGTGCTTTCACAGCTATCGTTGGTCTGCTAAAGGACCAGAGCATTCCAGTAAAAATGCAACAGCAAGAACGACTGACGACAAGATTTCTCTAAAAGGAGAAGGGAAAACCTTCAGCCAGACAAAGCAAATTGTGAAAGTATTCTCTCTTCGTCGCTTGCCTTCCCCCCCCCCCCACCCCCCCCCCCACCACACCCAAAGAGTACGTTTTTACCAAAAATGTTTCGGTGATATTCTGTAACCGACTCCTCAGAGGAAAGCTGACATCTGTTTCTACTTTTACGAGCGAAAGTCCAAGGCATCAAAGAGGTGTGTGTGTGTGTCTGTGTGTGTGGGTGGGTGGGGGTGGGCGGATATGGGAGGAACAGAGAGAAAAACACTGCACTGGGAGGATGGGGGCAAACCGTGCCCCCGAGAGAGGCTCCAGGATTGCGTTAAGAGGGGCACTCCCCCTCCCCTCAGCTCGGAGTCAGGCCCCCGCCACTGTTAAGCGCTCTGAGACACTACCCTGCGACTTCTTGTTGTTGGCATTGGGTGCAACCAACTAAATCTGCCCAGTTTCCCGCCTCTGGCAGCAGCTAAGGGAAAGGGGATATGAAAAATCAGGAAGGGGTGACAGTATATGGGAAGGGGGAATATGGGAGGGGGGTGCATTTACAGGGAGTGGGCAATTACGGTGAGGGGGGATATACAGACACACACACACATATATATATATATATATATATATGGGGAGGGCGGGTATGTATGAGGGATATATAATGCCTATCAGACTTCAAGTCCTGGATGAGAGGTAAATTTATCCAGTTGAATGTCAACAAGACCAAAGCCCTCCTGCTTGGCTCCCGTCAGCGCCTCCATACCTTGAACTCCGACAACAACAGCAAAATTACATTTAGAGAGCGCCTTTCACGTCGGGAGGACGTCCCAAACCGCAGGTGTCGGGGCCCGAGCAGGGGGAAGGGTGGTGTTACGCGTGAGGGAAGGCAGAGAGGTGGGAGGGCGACCGGAGGCACAATCAAAGAGAAGGGTCTTGAAACCGGCCTTGAAGGAGGCGGCCTGGCGGTACGACCCTTCATGGATGCACTCCACACCTCACGAAGCCGATACGGAACCTCAATGCCCTGTTCGACCCTCTACACTCTTTCATACCCCACATCGGATACGACCCGCTCCGCCTTCCCTCACCCTCCGTAATGCTGCCCAGCTCCGCCATCGTCTCTCAGCGCTGGCCGCCGAGAACCTCATCCACGCGTTCCATCACCTCCAGGCGCGACTATGCCAACTCCCTGCTTGTCGGGCTCCCCAACTCCTCCCTCCACAGACTGTAAATACAGAACTCTGCAGCCCGTGTCCTCTCCCGCACTAGGCTCCGCAACTCTATCACCCTCCTCCTCGCCTGACTCCAACTGGCTCCCCATCACTCAGAAGATACAGTTCAATATGATAATAACAATAATCCTTGCATTTGATACAGCGCTTTTCAAGATCCTGGTCCTCACCTTCAAAGTCCTCCACGGCCTTGCGCTTCCCTACCTTTGTGACCTCCTGTAACCCTCTATCATCCTGTCCGCTCCCTTTGCTCGGCAGGCTTCAGCCTGCCTCACCTCGCCATGCCTTCACTCACCCTCCTACCCCTCCCCACCCTCAACCCGACGTGATCCCAGCCACCAGCTCAGGTGCAGATCCCTGACCGTCCAGCGCCTTGGGACGTTCTCCTGACATGAAAGGCGCTGTACAAATGCAATTTGTTGTTGCACACACACACACATATATATAGGGACGGGGTACATATGGTAAATATATGTATGGGGAGAGGGGGATATGTGAGATGTATATAGGGTGTATGTAGGAGATACATACATATGCATACATATACATGGGGAGGGGTATTTATAGGGTGTATATAAGCTTTCTATATCGAGGGGTGGGTATACATAGGGAGTAGATATAAGGGAAGTTGGGTATATATGGGGTGTATATTGGGTATATTTATGTGTGTGTGCATATGGGGAGGGGTTATATGTAGGGTGTATATAGGTATATATGTGGGTTACATATAGATATATGTGGGGAGGGGGTATGTAGTATATATATATAATATTATATATAAGGTATATATATGTGGGGAAGGGGTATGTATGGGATGTATACAGGATATATATATGGGGAGGGGGGTATATAGTATATAGGGAGGAGGGGTATAGTATATATATGGGGGAGGGGGTATATAGTATATATGGGGGTATAGTATATATGGGGGAGGGGGTATAGTATATATGGGGGAGGGGGTACAGTATATATGGGGAGGGGGGTATAGTATATATATGGGGAGGCGGTATATAATATATATGGGGGTATAGTATATATATATAGGGGGAGGGAGTGTGGTATACATATAGGGGGAGGGGTGTATAGTATATATATAGGGGGAGGGGTGTGGTATACATATAGGGGGAGTGGGTACAAGTATATATATAGGGGGAGGGGGGTGTAGTATATATAGGGGGGTATGTAGTATATATATATGGGGAGGGGTATAATATATATAGGGGGTATATAGTGTATATAGGGGAGGGTGGCATGGTATATATATATGGGGAGGGGGTGTGGTATGCATTTAGGGAGAGTGGGTATACAGTATATATAGGGGAGGGGGTATAGTATATATAGGGGGAGGGGTATAGTATATGGAGGGGGTATATATAGAGTGTAAATGGAGTCGCTGCACTGTCGGGGCGGGAGGAGCGCGAGGCCTGACCTCGGGGTGATTTACCCCGAGCCTCGGGATCCCCGCCCGCGAGACTGCGCGAACCCACACCCACACCCGCACCCGCCCCGGGGCCGCTCACCCCACTCACCGCCAGCACTCAGGCCCAGCCTCCCGCCATGGCGCTGCCTGTCGCCGGTCCCGCGGCTCGGCCTCGGCCTCCGCTGCTCCTCTCCTCAGGCGGCCTCCGCGCCACACAACAGCCGCCGCCGCCACCACCGCCGCCTCAACCTCACGTCCTCCGCTCGAGCTCCCCGCCCGGGAGGGAGGGAGACGCGGTGACGTAGAGCACAGCCGGAGGGAGACGCGGTGACGTAGAGCGCAGCCGGAGGGAGACGCGATGACGTAAAGCGCAGCCGGCGGGGAGACGCGGTGACGTGCAGCGCAGCCAGCCAGGCGCCGCGCGCACGTCCCGGTGACGTGCCACGCAGTCGGGCGGTGGCGTTAAACCGCCACGCCCAGCACGCGTTGCCCCACCCTCCCTCAGTGACGTCACCTGGCCCGGGCCACGCCTTCCGCAGCAGCTACATTGGGTCACAATAAATAATATATAATATATAATAATAACAATAATAATCATTGCATTTGACACAGCGCCTCGTCACGTCTTTTCCGCGTCTCAAAGCGCTTCACAGGACAGACCGTGTATTTGCGGGCGAAACGCGGCAGCCAATTGCGCACAGCGGCGTCCGTCCCCCCCCGTCCCCCCCACACACACACAAACAGTCGTGGAAAATGGAAAAATGACCCATTTTATTATTGCTTTTCATTTTTTTGGAGGGATTATTGTCGGGCGGGCGGAGTAAGGAAACTTGCCCAAGGTTTCGCCCCCGCCTGGGATTGAACCCCGCCCGGGTGTCTGTCTCGCTTTGCGAAGGCGAGTGTGCTCTTCACCACCGAGCCCGCAGGACTCCAAAGCAACCGGTCACGCTGCAGCCTTCGCAGCCCATCCCTGCGTTTAAGGGTCTCCAAACCAATTCCATTCATCCCAACTACACGTGGAAATCCCAGGGATAGGTTTGTTGGAATGGAATGCGCTCTCTCTCTCCCTGGAGGGAGGCATCTTGCTGACCTAATTCCAGGCAGTATTAGGCGCAGGTTGGCGAGAGCCAAGGCTTGTGTGCGGCATGGGGGGAGCCCGGAGTGTGCGTTGGGGTAACTGCTGGAGTCTAACCAGCTAAAACCCACACACATAGCTCGGCCATTGATATCGCTGTCTGGCCAAGCCTTCCCTCCGTTCCCCACTATGCATTAGAGTATATTCATATATACCCGGGTTCTATTCCCAGGCAGGGCGAAATGTTGGTCAAGTTTCCTTACTCCACACACCTCTGTTTACCTCGCAGTAAGTAGGAACCCAGTTGTTAGTCACCTGCGGGGTACTCCAGGGCTCCATCCTTGGCCCTCTTATTTCCCTTATCTATATGCTCCCTCTGGGCAATGTATTCCGCTGACATGGTATAAACTTGTATGCGGATTACACACAAATCTACTTTGTCTCCTCCAGTACCAACTCTAGGTCCTTCTATCAGCTTGTCTGGCAGACATCAATGCCTGGATGAATGCAAACTTCCTACAGCTGATTGTGGACAGGACGGAAGCCACACTCCTTGGCTCCTGTCAACGTCTTTACTCCTGTGGATCTAAACTCCTCAACCTCCCTCCCTCTGTTCTCCCTCAAACTCACCGAACCAGTGCGCAATTTAGGCATCCGGTTCAACCCCCAGCTGTCCTTCCTCCCCCACACCCAGTTCCTGACCAGGAACGCCTTCTTATACCTCTGCTACATTGCCCGCCTCCAACCGTACCTTACCCCAAATGGAGCTGAAACCCTCGTGCGTGCATTTGTCATCTCCCACTTGGATTACACAAACACTCTCCTCTCTCCGGCTCCACTGTTCAAAAGATTCAGCTCATTCAGAATCTGCTGACCACATACTTACCCGGACCAACTCCGTACCCACATCTCACCAGTTCTGGCCAGGCTCCACTGGCTCCTCATAATGATGTATCAACTTCAAGATCCTCACACTCGTGTTAAAATACCTCCCTATCTATCCTCACTCCACCACCTGGCGCCTCCGCTTGACTGGCACTGGCCTCCTACTCGTCCCTCGCACCCTCCACCCCACCAACGGAGGTCGCGCTTTCAGCCACTACGTCCTAAAACTCTGGAACGCTCTCCCTCAATCCCTCCGCCTTGCCCCCTCTCTCCCCTTTTTTCAAGTCACTCATGAAAACCTTCCTCCTCGACCATGCTTACTCCCAACCCCCAGCTCGGAGTCAGGCTCCACCACTGGTAAGCGCTGAGACTCTACCCTGTGTGGAGAGTGCAGGTGTTGCTGTACATACCTACGTACTATGGGTCCACACCGCTTGGTTTGAATACTGTTGAGCACGGAGATGCGTTTGTGTGTGTGGTAGACAACAAAAATGCCACATAGGGGAACTGAGAGTAGCTGATCGCCACACTAAGAGGAACTGTTTTGATCTTGCTCGCTCAACTTAGTTGAGGCTAATACGCGAGAAGGTTATATTGTGTTGCAATTTGCAATTGCTGAGAAATGATTCTTTGACCCAACGCTTACAGTTCCCGCTACTGTGGTTACAGTTCCCGGTAAGGTTTCGCAAATGAAGTCAGCATCTGGGAGGTCTAAAAGTAAGTTTCATTTCAACAATCAGTTTCTGAAAAGTTTGCCTTTTAAAAAAAAAAGCTGAATAATTAAAAAATCCGAAAAACACGTTCAGCGGGTGGAAGGGAATGACGATACGGTTTTTTTATCGTCAACAATTCAATATAATAATAATAATCCTTGCATTTGATATAGCGCTTTTCACGTCGGGAGGACGTCCCAAAGCGCTTCACAGAATATACTGTAAAGTGAATTGACTGTATATTTGTGGGCGAACGCGGCAGCCAATTGCGCACAGCAATGTCCCACAAACAGTCGTAGATTGAAAATGACCAATTTATTATTGTTTGGGGTTTTGGAGGGATTATTATTAGGCTCTGTGTGGAGTAAGGAAACTTGCCCAAGGTTTCGCCCTCTGCCTGGAATTGAACTCAGGTCTCTCGCTTGCAAAGCGAGTGCTCTAACCACTGAGCCACAGGACTCCACGATGATTAATCCTGGCATTTTATACAGCACTTCATGACTTTATCGAGACGTCTCGATGCGCTTCAAAACTGGAGTGTTGTGACTGTTTTTGTGGGTGAATGCGGCACGCGATTTGTGCACAGCAGCATTCCCACAAACAGTCATAGAGCGAGTGAACAGTTTTATCTGGGGGATTGTCGGCCAGAACACCGGGAGAGAGAGAAACTCCCTCTCTTTACCAATAGTGCTGTAGAATCGTTAATGTCCACCTGATCAGGCATACATAAGCCAGGACCTTGGCTTGACATCTCATCTGAAGGACGACACCTCCTACAATGCAACGCTCCCCCCAGCACTGCGCTGGAGTTAGTTTAGCCTTTTCAGACCAGTTTAGATTGGGATTATTCTCCTGAGAGCAGAGAAGGTTGAGGGAAGATTTAATAAAGGTGTTCAAAATTATGAGGGGCTTTCACAGAGTAAGTAAGGAGAAACTGTTTCCTGTGGCAGGTTGGTCGGTAACCAGAGGACACAGATTTAAGATAAATTGGCAAAAGAATCAAAGGGGAAATGAGGAGACATTTTTTTTTAACCGGAGAATTGTTATGGTCTGGAATGCACTGCCTGAAAGGGTCTGGAAGCAGGTTTGATAGTAGCTTTCAAAAAGAGCATAGGATAGGTAATTGAAAAGGCATCCGGTTCGACCCCCAACTGTCCTTCTTCCCCCACATCTGGTCCCTGACCAGGACCGCCTTCTTCCAACTCCGCCACAGTGCCCGCCTCTGACCTCCGACCGTACCTTACCCCAAATACAGCCGAAACCCTCGTGCATGAGTTTGATACCTCCCGCTTGGATTACTCCCACGCACTCCTCCCCGGTCTCCCCAGCTCCACCATTCACAAGATCCAGCTCATTCAGAACTCTGCCGCCCGCACACTTACCCGGACCAAACTCCGTACCCACATCTCACCAGTTCTGGCCCAGGCTCCACTGGCTCCCCGACACCGAACGGATCAACTTCAAGATCCTCACTCTCGTGTTCAAATCCACTACCTCCCCGTCACCTCCCTCCCTCTCCAACTTCCTCACTCCCCAATCCTCCGCTCGACTGGCACCGGCCACCTGCTCATCCCTCGCGCCCTCCGCCCCACCATCGGAGATCGTGCTTTCAGCCACTACGTCCCAAAACTACAGGAACATTCTCCCTCAATCCCTCCGCCTTGCCCCCTCTCCCCTTTCAAGTCCCGCCTGAAAACTTTCCTGTTCGACCGTGCTTTCGGCCACCTCTCCCCTGCCCCCGGCTCCGCCACTGTTAAGCGCTGTGGGACGCTATTCTGCGTTGAGGGTGCTATACCAGTGCAAGTTGTTGTTGTCGAAAAGGAAAAATTTGCAGGAATATAGGGTAAGAGCGGGGGAGTGGGCCTAGCTGGTAGCTCTTTAAAAAGAGCCGGCAGAGGCACCCTGGGGCGAATGGCCTCCTTCTGTACTGTAAGATTCTATGAGTTGGCAGCAAACGATATGACTTATTGAGGGATTATAGCCACACATTAAAAAATGAGAAATGAACAAAGACGTATTTGCTTAATGATTCATCCAATTTGTGGTTATGTAAAGAGAAGTGTGAGATGCTGTACGGGAAGGAGATTTACAAAGAGGACCGTCAAACAATATAAAAACTATTTCCTTACCTCCACATCCTACACTGTTAATCCTCATGTTATTAACCCATTATTTCGCCGCAATGTCTTGCATTGCTTACCTTCACAATCAAGCCTTTGGTCTAACTGGTAATAAAAACCTCGCATTTGATAATAGTGCCTTATCACGTCGTTGAGATGTCTCAAAGCGCTTCACATACACTGTAAAGTGTGCATTTTGTAGGCGAAACACGGCAGCTAATTGCGCACAGCAATTTCCCACAGTGGTGGATTGAGTGACCAAATTTATGGAGTTTTTATGGAGGGATTATTACCCCCAGAAAGCAATCCGCCAATCAACTAACAACCGGGTTCCTACTTACTGCTAGGTAAACAGAGGTATGTGGAGTAAGGAAACTTGCCTAAGGTTTCACCCTGTCCTGGAATTGAACCCGGGTCCTCTCGCTGCAAGGCGAGCACTCTTAACCACTACGCTATGATCCTTACGGCCTGTTCTGATTCCATTGCTCACGGTTCTAAAGGAAATACAAGAGGACAACGGCATCACAAAAAGTTTTCCTTTTATTACCTGCAGCCTAGAGAGATTCTCACTTTACTTTCTCAGGTAAACTAGTAAAAATACTGTCACTCTTGTTGTGTTGAAATGCGGTTCCCAATGTACTAACTGACGTTGAGGATTATTATCCCAACCGCAATTAACGGACGGCTTAGCTTGGCGGCGTGTTTTCCTTACCGTCCGAGGATCTTCGCTGATGTTCGGGGCTGGATTGTAACGGACACAGAAAATGAAGCACTTTCCTTTGCTAGCTCTCTGCTACAATGGAGGTTTGTGTTATTTTTTTATTAAAAAAAAAACCCAGTGTCACAAAAGACAGCAACTACGTTGCTGACTGGGAATAGGGCAGCTTTGCCTGTCTCTGGTTCCCAGCGGTCAATTACACAGAAAAAACCAACAGTCAAGTCTTCGCCCAGGCAGGAGCCTAATGTTTTGGTGTTTTTCTTTTTTTTTTGTCATTTGTATTGAACGGAAATCGTACATCCATCGAGCCCCCGCCCCCCCCCTCCCCCCACCACCCTCAGCGGGCTGGGGGTTTCCGGCTCCTGTGGGAGGGTAGTGGAGGAAGGGAGGTGGGCCTCGGTGATCAGGCAGCTGGACAGGCCCGAGGGTCAAGGCTGTGCCCCGGTCACGACGGCAATAGGTGGCCCCAGGGGGTTGGGGGAGATGATTGGAGATCCGGTGAGCGGCCCAAGGGGCTGCGAGATGGGCAGTGATGGTATACCTGGAAAGAGAGAGGGAGAGAGAGAAACACAGCCAGGTTAGGCAGAGACACAGCACAACATCCCTTATCTGCATAGAGGTGTGAACCTGCCTAACGGGTAGGGTGGTCCTAGCTGGACAAGCAGCAGGAAAGCTGCTAGTTCGCTTCCAGCAGTTACCCATTGGGCACTCCCGGCTCCCCAAGCCTTGGCTCTTGCCGAACTGCGCCTAATGCTGTACTCTCTGTCCGGAATTAGGTAAGCAGGATTCATCCCTCCAGGGAGAGAATGTGCATTCCATTCCAGCAATCTCGTCTCCGGGATTTTCCGTTCAGGTGGGAGGCGTGGAATTCTCAGCTTAGTTTGGAGACTCTTAAGCACGGTGATGGGTTTCCGCTGCGGCAGACACCTGACCGGTCATAAATAAAAAGTCAGGGCTTTGAGGGCTCCGAAGTGTTGCCCCATACGAGGGGCACGCTATAAATACAAGTTGTGGTTGCCTCAAAGTAGTTGTTCTCAGAGGGAGGAGGGAAGGAGATGAAGTGTCTGGTCCTTTTCCGTGTACTAAGGGCGCCCTCCAGAGGGCCAGACATGCAGTAGCTTTGCCTCCAACTGTGCTGCAACCAAAAAACAGAGGAGGTGGAGCTGGGAGGCGAGGAGAGGGGTGGGGATGGAGATGGGGGGGGGTCAAGGGCTTCATTTTGGACGTGATGGAGGTGAGAGAGGAGGGTGTATACGAGGTCCAAGGTGAGGAGGGAGGGATGAGTTGGAGGCCGGAGTGTGAGGGGGAGGAGGTGGGGGAGCAGCAGAGAGGGCAGAGGCAGACAGTTATTCCGTACGTCCTTGATAAGCTCAGACAGAGCAAAGGGGATAAACGATGTGCACAATTCACTGTCGCGTTTCATCCACAAAATACAGTCGCTTCGCTTTACAGTATATCCTGTGAAGCGGGGTGGGGTGGGTGGGCGGGTTGATGGGGGTGGGTGGGTCGGTTGGGGTGAGGGGGTAGTGGGGGTGGAGTGGGGAGTAGCGGGTGGAGTACGTACAGAAATAAGAATGCTCCATGGCCTCTCTGGCTGTGAGCCTCAGCTGGTGATCGTAGCGCAGCAACTTGTCCAGGAAGTCCAGGGCCTCTGAGCTGACCAGGTGCTGGTTCTCACTGTGCACAAAGCGCTCCCACCTCTTGCGAGAATGCCTGTGGAGGTGACAGAAACCGATCAAATGCTGTATCAAATGCAAAGATTATTATTATTATTTTCATAGAATTGTACAGCACATCGTGCCTGTACCAGCTCTTTCAAAAAGCCACCATCTAGTCCCACTCCTCTCTTACTCTATAGCCCTGCAAATTTTTTTTCAATGACATATCCAATTCCCTTTTGACAGTTATAATAATCCTTGCATTTGATATAGCGCCTCATCACGTCGTTGAGACGTCTCAAGGATGCACTGTAAACTGTAGTGACTGCATTTTTGTGAGTAAAACGCAGCAGCCAATTGGGCACAGCTGTGTCCCACAAACAGTCGTGGATTGAATGACCAAATTGTTATTATTATTATTCTTTTGGGAGTTATTATTGAATCTTATTGAATGTTCAGCAGCCTTGCTCACCTGCCCAAGATATCATTAAAGCGTGGATCCAGCTCAATGTTGTATTTGTCAATGTAATCGTACAGATCTTCTGTGCCCAGCACCTTGGCAATCCTCACCAGCTGTCAACAAAGGCAGGGATCAGCCAGCAGCACCACCACAACTTGCATTTATATAACAACAACAAATTACATTTACACAACACCGAAGGCGCTGGACAGTTAAGAGTCTGCACCCGAGCAGTGGGATTAGAAGGGGTGGGAGGGCAGGGAGGGTGACCGAAGTGCAATCAAAGAGGAGGGTCTTGAGACGTCACTTGAAGGAGGCAAGGGATCTATCTGTTCTGTAATAAGGAACCTGGCAAGAATTGGGGTGATAGGGTGCGGAGTTTGAAGGATACAGGAGAGGGGAAATCGAGGGGTGTAAGAGAGGGGAATGGAGCCTGGCAAGGAATTATGTGATGGGGTGTGGAATTGAAGGATGTACCGTCGCACTGAGAAATCTCACCTGATCGTAGTTATCGTGACCGTGGAAGAATGGTTCCTTCCTGAAGATCATGCTGGCCAGCATACAGCCCAGACTCCACATGTCCAGACTGTAATCGTACATCTGGGGAAACAACCAAGCCTCCGTTATGCCCCCCACCTCTATGCCACACCCCCCAAAACCCCCTTCCGGACCACAGGAAACACTGTGAGATGTTTTTAATAATAATCCTTGTAGAGTGGATTTGGATGTGAATTTGTTGGCGAAACACGGCAGCCAATTCTGCACAGCGCTGTCCCACAAACAGTTGTGGATTGACTGACCCATTTTTTTTTAACTTTACCCCCAGAAAGCGATCCACCAATTTGACTAACAAGCCGGTTCCTACTAACTGGTGGGGGAATCCAGAACAAGGGACACAGTCTTAAAATTAAGAGCCAGGCCACTGAGGAGTGAAATTCGGAGGCAGTTTTTCACCCAAAGGGTAGTGGAAATCTGGAACCCTCTCCCCCAAAAGGCTGCGGATGCTGGATCCATTCACATTGTCAAAACTGAGATGGATAGATACGTGTTAGGTCAGGATATTAAGGGATACGGGTTGGTAATTGGATTTGAGGTACAGATCAGGCATGATCTTAGAAAATGACGGAACAGGCTCGAAGGGCTGAACGGCCTCCTCCTGTTCCTACGTTTCTTTGTTTCTTTGTTACTGTTGGGTAAAGAGAAGCGGGTGGAGTAAGGAAACTTGTCTAAGGTTTCTCCCTGCCCAGGTCGTCTCTCTTGCGAGCGCACTAACCACTATGTTACGGGACGAATCATGTTATAGGCAATCGCACGCAGGTTTCTATGTATAAAGTGCCGGGGCCATGCTGGTGTGGCTAGCGGGCTCGCTTACCTACCTGGTAATCTACCAACAGCTCAGGGCCCTTGAAATACCTGGAGGCCACCCGCACGTTGTACTCCTGGCCTGGGTGGTAGAACTCTGCCAGCCCCCAGTCTATCAGTCGGAGCTACAGCCCAGAAAACACACCGTCAGTACAGACAGCAAGGAGGGACACAACAACAAGAACATTACGTTTACACAGCGCCTTTTGCAGCTCCCCCTCATTACGTCACGCCTTACAAAGTGCTGGGCCGACAGGGATTTGGACCCAAGTTGGGATCAGGAGGGGTGGAGGGTAGGGAGGGTAGGGAGAGGAGAGTGGCCGAATGTGCAGTCAAAGAGGAGGAACTTAAGGCGTGCTTTGAAGGAAGCAAGGGATGTGCGAGGCGAAGGGACTGTGGGATGGAGTTCCAGAGGATAGGGGCAGAGAAGCTAACACAACAATTTGCATTTACATAGTTCCCTTCACACAGGGCAACGTCTCGGAGCATTTAGGGATGCAGTGGAGAGAAATAAACATCGGATATAGTGCCTTATCAATGTTGTCGAGACGTCTGAAAGCGCTTCACAGGATAAATTGAGAGCAGGGCAGATTCCTGCGCTGTAAGTTTCCTGGTTCTGTCTCCAGGCTGGAGTTGACTGTTTAAAGCTTCCCCGGGTATCAATCAACAGTGGGAACAGTTCAGCAGATACCGTCTTTAGGGCAGTGACCGGGGCACCGTACCTTTCTGTGTTCGTGGTCGATCATGACATTGTGTGGTTTGACGTCTCTGTGCATGATGCCCATACTGTGACAGTAATCCAGAGCCTACAGCAGAGTCACCCAGATTAGTGCGAGACAGGAGAGAGAGAAAGACGGAGAGAGATACAGAGACAGATAGAACGACACAGAGAGAAACGGAGAGACAGATAGAGACACAGAGACAGACACAGAGAGGGGGGAAGAGGGTAATACACTGCCGTCACACCTCCACACACGCATACCCCACCCCCCATCCCAACATACGTGCATCAATTTACAGCACCCCCCCACCCACCCAAACAAACATACACACACAGCCTTCCCGCCGCCCCATAAATGCACATATTGATATAAACACACACTGACTTGTGCACACTTTGACAACCCTCCACACTCGCAGCCCAGGCTGTCAGCTGCCTCCCCGCCCATGACAATGACAGACAGACGACGAGAATTCTCACCTTTAGAATTTCATACATGTAGAATCGAATGTCATAGTCAGATAACGTCTGATATAATTGCTGTCAAAATGGAGAGAGTCTGATTATCCATCCGATCGCCAGGTTCGCCAATAAACCTCTCTCCCTCCCATCACCCCTCTCTACCTCCCCCATCACCCGGCCCTCTCCCCATCCCATCACCGCTCCTCCTCATTACTCCTCTCCCCTACCATCACCCACCCCTCTCCCCCATCATTAAAGACGATTAAAGGGGGTAAATTCAGAGCAAATCTGCAGAAACACTACCTCAGTAAGCGAGTAGTAAACTTATGGAACAGGCTCCCGAGGGAGACAGGCGGTGGAAGCAGAAAATGTTGTTTGTTACAAATCGGCTAACAAATTAGATGGATTTCTGCTAGAAAATAATATCTGGGGATACAGTATATAGTTTGAGACATGACGTGTCAAGCGACTGCCAGGATGGTGGAAAGGCAAATGAGATGGACCTTGATTTTCTTTCGCCAGCAAATTCTTATGCTCTAATGAGGACGTCTCAAGGGGCTGGAAAGGGCAAGACAGAACAGGGCAACCCCCACACGCACAAATAGACAGGGTGTCCACCAAGTCATGTTACCCCCATGTGAGTTTTTTTTTCCTACAGCGCACTGATCGACAACTGAAACGTGTGGCAGAACGATGCTAATTGGGTTTAGAAGCAGTTACTGTATTCAGTACAAGTGTTTAACGGTACTTAAGATGTCCAGAGGATCGATGTGAGTGAGTGAGTGAGTGAGTGAGTGAGTGAGTGAGTGAGTGAGTGAGTGAGTGAGTGAGTGAGTGAGTGAGTGAGTGAGTGAGTGAGTGAGTGAGTGAGTGAGTGAGTGCTATCATTTTCATGGCAGATAACGATCCCCTCGCCATGATCAGTGCCACTTCCGCCGTAACACAGATGGAGGGAGGAGGTGAAACACATCTCCAGCGGCATGTTTCATCTCCTCCGCAGTCTTATATCCCTGGTTTGTGTCAGGAGGGTAACGGGACTTTGTGGACACCCTGTACTCACACCCTCAGTGTTATCTGGGACCCTTACCTTAAAATCTGTATTGTTTACGTGTTCAAACACCAGCGCAGGCGTCCGAGACTGAGGGGCCGACCCGAGGCGTGGAGAGAAAGGAGGAGGTTTAGTGCTGTGTGCATTTGATATAGCGCCTGATCGCCTTGTTGAGACGTCTCAAAGTATACAGAATATACTGTAAAGTGTAGTGCGCTGGAGTTTTTGTGGCCAAAACTCGGCAGCCAGTTTGCACACAGTAGTGTCCCACAAACAGTCATGGAGTGAGTGACCAATAGTTTATGGGGGGGGGAATTTATTGACAAGGACACAGGGGGAAACTTCCTTCAGGTGGATGGTAAAGATCCCACGGCACTATTAGAAAAGAGAAGGGAGTTTCTCTCTCCCGGTGTCCTTGGCTGAAATCCCCCAGATAACAAATTGGTCACTAAATGGCTGTTTGTGGGACATTGCTGTGTGCAAACTGGCTGCCATGTTTGGCCCTAGCACTTCCCCACGTCTCCGTCCTGCTTGTTCCCCAATCCACTACCCATCGCCTCCGCTCGGCTGGCTCAGTCCCTCGTGCCCTCCGTTCCACCATTGGCGGCTGTGCTTTCAGCCACTACGCCCTGAAAGTCTGAAGCACTCTTCCTCAAATTCCCTCCAACTTCATCCTCCACCCACCCACCACTCCCTGGCTCGGCATCTGGCTCCACCACTGTTAAGCGCCCCGAGACTCTGTCCCGCGTGAGGGGCACTACATAAATGCCAGTTGTTGTTGTTGTTACTCACCACAGGATCTTTCACTATGTCGAGCAGGTTGATAATGTTGGGGCCACCGCGCAGATTCTCTAAGATCTTTATCTCTCGTTTTATTTTCTTCTTTTTTACCGGCTGTGGAAGCAAAGAGATGACATTCAGGGCCAACCCAGTGAGGAAGGGAGGGGAGGAGGGGGAGGGAGTGGCGAGATAGTAGAGGGCAAGGAGTTGGGGAAGGTAACAATCATCACTGCCGATGATAGCGCGGCCTGGCTCATCGGTGGGACCTGGAAGGGCAGTCCAGTCGCTGGGGGCAGGGAATCCTCCCACTCAACTCCTGTTAACCCTGCAAACCAAAGCCCTCGTGAGTAGGGCGGTCCCAGTTGGACAAGCAGCGGGAAAGCTTGTCAGACAGCGCTCTCAATAGCAAGCTATGTGGTTTTAGCTGGTTAGACTCCAGCAGTCACCCTGACCGCACTGTCTGGGGTGCCCAAGCTTTGGCTGTTAAGAGTGCGCATTCCATTCCAACATTCTCACTCCCAATCTCTGGGATTTCCATGTGTAGATGGGATGTATGGAATTCACAGTTTGGTTTGGACACTCATAAGCACGCTGCTGGGTTTTCGCATGTGTGGGACATCCGGCTGAGCAGACGTTTTTTAAGCAAACGAAACAAATTCTTGCCCAACTCATGTTTTGATAATATTTGACTCAAATACTGAGAGCCGTCTCGTCACACTCACCTTGAGGATTTTGACCACGACTTTCTCGTTGTTTGTGATATTAATCGCTTCAAAAACTTCACTGTATTTTCCACGGCCTAATTTCCGAACTAACTGATAATCATCTTGGTTTCTGTCAGAAACAGGGAAAGCAGAGTCAGTCTAGGCAAGAGAGCAGAAATATCATAAAGTATTTATAAGGGGAAATCTCTCTGATCTCATTCTCTCTCCCTATCGTGTCTGTGCTGGTGCTCGCTCCCCCACTGGAGCTCTCTACTCTAACCCCATTGCTCAATTGCTTCATTATGAGCAATGCAAAGTAAAACTTTATATATAAAAAAATTTCATGTATTGGTTTACTTGCACTGCACAGACACAAGTGAGAATGAGCAGCTGTGTCTGAGGGACAGAGATGCGGATAAAGGGAAGAAAGAATTTTGTGTGACAGCCTGGCGCAGTGGTAGCACTCGCGACTCGGGAGTCAGAAGGTAGTGGGTTCAAGCCCCACATTGAGACGAACTCACACAGTCTAAGATGACACTCCAATGCAGCGCTCTGGGTGCGTTGCATTGTCAGAGGTGCCGCTCTTCGGATGAGATGTTAAACCGAGGTCCCGTCTGCCTGTTCGGGTGGGTGTAAAAGATCCCACAGAGATATTTGAAAACAGAAGGGAGTTTCTCTCTCCTGGCCAACAATTCCCCAATTAAAATTGGTCACTCGCTCCACGACCGTTTGTGGGACCCTACTGTGCGCAACTGTCGCCTACAAAATATACAGTCAATCCAATTTACATTATAGCATGTCTTCACGTTTTGAGACTTCTTTCCGACATGATAGAACGCTATATCGAACGCAAGGATTACTATTATTGTATTCTTGCGCTGCCCCGGATCCCAAAAAGCCTTTCATTAATTACTGCCCACTCCAGTGACTGTTATTGAAATCACTTCAAGAGAGGCAGTCACTTTGTTCACAGCAGAATTTCAGGATTGTTGGCCAGTCCAATGACACTGGGAGAAACTCCTCCCTTTCCAATATTGGCACGACGACGACAACAAATTCACATTAATTTATGAAGCACCTTTCATAGGGGATGGGAGTCCCAAGGCACAGCAGGGGCCTTGATTTAACATATGTATTTACATACACACACACACACAAATAGATTTAACAGAACAAATCTGCGGAAACACTACTTCAGTGAGCAAGTAGTAAACTGATGGGAGACAGACGGTGAAAGCAGAAAACTAGATGGACCGTGGCAAAAGGCAAAATGCTGGAAACCTGAAATAAAAGTAGAAGTCGCTGGGAACACTCAGCAGGTCAGGCAGCATCTATAGAGAAGAAAGTGAGTTAATGTTTCAGGTCGATGATCTTAGTCTGACGATGGACTTTGACGTCTTTGGCAAATTCTTATGTTCTTATGAACGGCACACCTGAAAGCGCTCTCCCCCCCCCCCCCCAAGGCTGCACGGAAGCATCAGCCTGGATTGTGAGCTCAAAGTCCCCAACTTTCTGACCCGAAGCAAGAGCCCCCACTGCACCAATGGATGGGAGAGGAGCAGTCAGTGTCTCGATAAGAGGGGAGAGAGAAAATGTTGCACTCACCCCCACTCAACTACGTGCGACTCGTAATCCCAGTACTCGCGGGGTCTCTGCGTGTTAACGTCAGCGTACACCCTGGCTCTGCTGGGCACCGGCCCCGACATGATTCAGGAGAGGAGGTGAAATGGTTCAGGAGAGGAGGTGAAATGGTTCCTTCCAATATTGCCTGGAAACAAGAAGCCAAAGGGTTGAGCTTTGTGTTAAATGGCGGCTGCAGGTCAGTCGGTGGCTCAATATCTGCTTTCATCTCCTCGGTCGGGCAGTTGGATTTAATCATAATAATAATCCGTGCATTTATATAGCAACTCATCATGTCATTGAGACGTGTCAAAGCACTTCACAGAATATACTGTAAAGTGGAATTGACTTATAACGCGATTTAAAATGTATTTTGTGGGCGCACAGCGGTGTCCCGCAAACTGTGCCGGATTGAGTGACCAAATGCAAAGATCTTTATTATTGTTGATAAGACGGTCTCAAATGCTTCACACTGATGGCTGTGAAGTGCTTATTTGTATGTGAGTCCAGCGGTCAGTTTGCACACAGGAACGACCCACAAAAAAGCCACAAAGTGAACGACTAACTACCTGGGGATGTTAAAATTGGACCCAATTGGAAAATAGAAGCATGTCACTCTCTCCTGGTGTCCTGGCTGACAATCCCCCAGACTCATCACATATTCACCTCACGGCTGTTTGTGAGATTTTGCTGCGTGCAAATTGGTCGTAGTGTTTTCCTACAAAAACGGTCGAAACAGTGAACAGTAGTCGCTGCAAAGGTCCTTTGATAGGTTTCGCTGTGTAACAATTCTCTGGAGAAATATAAAAATATATAAAAAAAGAATATTGAATAGTGATTGAGAGGATACAGAGGAGGGCAACCAGAATGATTCAGGGGATGGAGAGACAGGACTATGAGGTGCCATTATATAAACTGGGCATGTTCACGCTACAAAAGAGAAGGTTGAGGGGCGATATGATTACGCTCTTTAAGATTCAGAAGGGACAAGATAATGTAAACCATGATAAGCTGTTTTATCTTGAACTGAACAGTAGCAGCAGAGGACACGGCCTGCGACTGAAGAGGGTAAATTCAGAAAAAATCTGCGGAAACACTACCTCAGTGAGCGAGCAGTAAACTTATGGAACAGGTTCCCTTGAGAAACAGCCGGTGGAAGCAGAAGTTTTTGATCCTTTCAAGAACAAATTAAGATAGATTTCTGCTAGAAAATAATATCTCGGGATAGATTCAGGATACAGTTTGGGACGCAACATGTCAAGCGACTGCCAGGATGGTGGAAGGCGAACGAGGTGGACCTCGGTCTTCTTTCGCCCGCAAATTCTTATGCTTTTATGAAATCGCGGTTTCCCTCCCGCTCCCGCGCTCACTGTCGCACGTTTTAAAAGGACTGAGAGCTGACACACTGGGCACTGCCCAGAGGTGGAGAGAGAGCAACTACGTACCGTGTGGGAAGCTCACGGCTGTGAATCATTAAAACCGAGTCCAGTAATAATAATAATACAAATTATTAACAGAGAATTATTCTGCCACTGACTGCCCGACCAGCCTGGATCATCAACAAACACTTGGGAGGGGCAGACAGGAATTCTTCCCATTCAGCTCCGGTTAACCCTGCAAGCCAACACGCTAACGGGTAGGGTGGTCCGAGCTGGACAAGCAGCGGGCAAGCTGGCCAGGCAGTGATATCAATGGCAAGCTGTGTGGTTTTAGCTGGTTAAACTCCGGCAGTCACCCCCAACGCGCACACTGGGTCCCACAAGCCTTGGCTCTTGCCATCCTTTGCCCAATAATCTCAGGAATTAGGTAAGCAGCGTGCTTCCCTCCAGGGAGAGAGTGCGCATTCCATTCCAACAACAGGGAAATTTCCAAGTACAGGGAACGTACATATGTTGAACTGTATTGGTTTGGATATCCTTAAGCTTGGTGATGAGTCAGACCCCTACAGTCCACCTGAAGACGTCAGAGGATGGTCTCAGTTGAACGTTTCACCTGAAGGACATCACCCCTGACAATGCAGCGCTCTTTCTCACTCTCTCTCTCTCTGTCCCCCAGACCTGTGGTGGAGCGTCAACCCAGACTGCGAGCTCAGAGTCTCCGATGCTCTGCAAAGCTACTGAATTCAGCATCTGTGGCTCCTAAACGCCAACTGATGAAATCAATAACACTGATTATTAGAGGCTCCTTCCCCAGAGAGAGGAACACAGTCTCCTGTACCAGGTTTCTGGGCAATATTCCCCCAGAATAACCACACACTCACTTTGTGGCTGTATGTGAGTGTACGTGTGTGTGTGTGTGTGTGTGCGAGTGTTTGTGAGCATGTGTGAGTGTGTACCCGAGCCTGAGAGAGAGACCCTGCTGTGCACAAATTGGGTGCCAAACTTGCCCTCAAATAGGCACTACAAATCAATAGCAATTCCTGTTTTGATGCTAAAACGGTTAGATCAGGTGAGAGGATTATTTTATCCCGACAGCCTGTGCAGCCTGGCGCAGTGATAGCACTCTTGCCTCTGAGTCAGAAGGTTGTGGGTGGGTTCAAGCCTCACACTGGGACTTGGAATCACATAGTCTAAGCAACGCTCCAATACAGTGCTGGGTGGAGTTGTTCTATTGTCAGAGATGGCGTCCTTAGGGATGCGACATTAAACCGAGGCCCCCGTCTGTACCTGATCAGGTGTACGTTAAGAGATCCCGCTGCGCTAGTCGAAAAGAGACGGATGTTTCCTTTGCCGGTGGCCTGGCCGACAATCCCCCAGATCAAATTGGTCGCTCACTCCAAGGGCTTGTGGGACATTGCTGTACCCAATTGGGCTGCTGCGTTTCACCCACACAATACGCAGTCACTACACTTTACAGTATATCCTGTGAAGCGCTTTGAGGCATCTCGACACGATAAGGCGCTATTTCATAGGCAAGGATTATTATTAATATTAATATCATCATCATCATCTCAGGGCTCCAGAATCTCAACTTTACAGCACACAGGAGGCATTCGGCCAGTAGTTACCGGCTGGCTCTCTGAAGCAGCTCGCCATTCAGGCCCTCTACCCTCCCGCCCCACCCCCACTTTTACATTTTTCCTTTTCAAATATTTATCCCTTTTGCATTTCAATTCAAATACAGATTGGGCTTTGGCCAGCGTTTTGGGTTAGGTGTTCCATGCATTAAACCCTCGGTGTAGAAACATTCTCCTAACCTCTGTGGTCTTGGTGAAACATAATCATCGTAAGCAATAATGATAATAATCATCCTTGCAGTTGATACAGCGCCTTTCCCTTTTGGAGCACATCTCCACAAGCACCAGTAAGGTTTTCCTGTAAAGTGTAGTCACTGTGTGTTCTATGGGCCAACATAGCAGCCAATTTGCACGCAGCATCTTCCCATAAACAGTATGGAGTGAGTAACCAATTCTATCTGGGGGATTGCTGGCCAGGACACCGGGGGAGAGAGAGAAACTCCCTTCTCTGTTCCAATACCGCCATGGAGTTGTAAAATTGCCACCATGTTTGCCTACGAAGGCAGTCACCACACCAGCCTGTGAAGCAAATTTAAGAGCATTTCAAATTGAGAGACAGTGGATCAAATGCATGTTGTTTCCTTCAAAATCCATCCCTCGATCAGCTGAGAGAAACGAGGGCTTCAGAGCTGACAAACGTAAGAAGGGAGATTGCTTCAGCCTCTGGATTCCTCTGTAACATGTAAACCCCGGGTTGTACTGCAGCTTTACAGATGATCAAAACTAAAATGGGGTCCTGTATCTTAGCGCTTGCCTCACAAGCGAGTGGACCTGGGTTTGATTCCTGGGCAGGGCAAATCGTTGGGCAAGTTTCCTTACTCGACAGGCCTCGGTTTATCTAGCAGTAGGTAGGAACCCGGTTGTTAGTCGATTGCTGGAGATGGCTTTTCATGAGGACAATAATCCCTTCAAACATATTTTAAAAAAGTGGTCACTCAATCCACGACTGTCCGTGACACCGCTGAGGGCAATTGGCTGCTGCCACAAAATGCAGCCACTGCACTTCACAGGACGTCCTCCCGACGTGAAAGGCGCTCTATAAATGGAATCTTGTTGTTGTTGTTGTATATTCTGTGAAGCGCTTTGGGGCTTCTCGACAATGTGCTCAGGCGCTACATCAAATGTAAGGAATATTATTATTATTAAAAGCGTGAACTTAACACAGCTCAGAGGTGACCACTTTAAACCCCTGGATGTGGAGACTGTTGAGCGCAGATAGACAGGGACACAGTTCTCACACTCTCCCCCTTCTCAGCACTGTCTGAAGAGATTAGCTATGTGTGGCAGGAAAGAGGAGAGCCTGAGACACACACCAAACCACAGCCTCACCAGGCGAAAGACAGAGAGAGAGAGAGCTGCTGGGACCTGAGGGAGAGAGAGCTGGAGAGGGAGGGGGAAAGAGGGGCGGGAAGAGGGAGATGGGGGCAAGAAGGAGTGGGGGGGAGAGGGACAGGGGAGACGACGGTGGGGGGGGCAAGGAGGCAGGGTGGGGAGGGGGGAAGAGGCCGGGGTGGGGTGGGGCGAAGAAGCTGGGGGGAAGAGGCGGGGGGGGAAGAGATTGGGGGGGAAGAGGAGGGAAGGGGGGGCAGGGTAGAGGCAGGGAGGGAGGGGAGAGGCAGGCAGGGAGAGGGGGGGAAGAGGCAGGCAGGGAGGGAGGGAGAGAAGGGGGGGAAGAGGCAGGCAGGGAGGGGGGAAGAGGCAGGGAGGGAGGAAAGAGGCAGGCAGGGAGAGGGGGGGGAAGAGGCAGGCAGGGAGGGAGGGAGAAGGGGGGGGGAAGAGGCAGGCAGGGAGGGGGGAAGAGGCAGGGAGGGGGGAAGAGGCAGGGAGGGAGGGGGGGAAGAGGCAGGGAGGGGGGGGGAAGAGGCAGGGAGGGAGGGGGGGAAGAGGCAGGGAGGGAGGGGGGAAGAGGCAGGGGAGGGGGAAGAGGCAGGGATGGAGGGGGGGGAAGAGGCAGGGAGGGAGGGGGGGAAGAGGCAGGGAGGGAGGGGGGAAGAGGCAGGGAGGGAGGGGGGAAGAGGCAGGGAGGGAGGGGGGAAGAGGCAGGGAGGGAGGGGGGAAGAGGCAGTCAGGGAGGGGGGAAGAGGCAGGCAGGGGAGGGGGGGAAGAGGCAGTCAGGGAGGGGGGAAGAGGCAGGCAGGGAGGGAGGGGGGGAAGAGGCAGTCAGGGAGGGGGGGAAGAGGCAGGCAGGGAGGGAGGGGGGGGGAAGAGGCAGGCAGGGAGGGGGGAAGAGGCAGGGAGGAGGGGGGGGAAGAGGCAGGGAGGGAGGGGGGGAAGAGGCAGGGAGGGAGGGGGGGGAAGAGGCAGGAGGGAGGGAGGGAGGGGGGAAGAGGGAGGGGGGGGAAGAGGAGGGGGGAAGAGGCAGGGAGGGAGGGGGGGGGAGAGGGAGGGAGGGGGGGGGGAGAGGCAGGGAGGGAGGGGGGAAGAGGGAGGGAGGGGGAAGAGGCGGGGGGGGAGAGGCAGGGAGGGAGGAGGGGGGAAGAGGGAGGGAGGGGAAGAGGCAGGGAGGGAGGGGGAAAAGGCAGGGAGGGAGGGGGGGAAGAAGCAGGGAGAGAGGGAGGGGGGGAGAGGAGGAAGAGGAGGGAGGGGGGAGAGGGAGGGAGGGGGGAAGAGGAGGAGGGGGGAGAGGCAGGGAGAGAGGGAGGGGGGAGAGGAGGAAGAGGAGGAGGGGGAGGAGGAGGGAGGGGAGAGGAGGGGGGGGGAAGAGGAGGGAGGGGGGAGAGGGAGGGGGGGGAAGAGGAGGGAGGGGGGGAGAGGAGGGAGAGAGGGAGGGGGGAGAGGGAGGGAGGGAGGGGAGAAGGGAGGAGGGGGGAAAGAGGAGGGAGGGGGGGGGAGAGGCAGGGAGGAGGGGGGGAAAGAGGAAGGAAGGGAGGGAAGAGGAAGGGGGAAGGAAGAGGTGGAAGAAAGAGGAGGAGGGTGGGGGAGAAGGGGGGAGGTGGGGGGAAGGAGAGATGGAGGGAGGGCGGGAAGAAGGAGGGAGGGAGGGAGGAGGGGAGTGGGAGGGAGGAGTGATGGAGTGAGGGAGGTGGGTGGGGGGAGAGAGTGAGGCGGGAAGCGGGCGGAGAGGGGGAGGGGGGTAGAGTGAGGGGGCGGAATGGGGAGGAAGAGTGATGGGGGTAGAAAGGGGGAGGCGGGAGAAGGGAAGGGAGGAGTGAGAGAGAGAGAGAGAGAGAGAGAGAAAGGAGGGGAGTGAGAGAAAGAAAGAAAGAAAGGAGAGAGACAGAGAGGAGGGGGGAGAGGCCTGAGGCCTGCTGTGGCGCGGAGCCTGGGGCGGGGGGTAACTGCGGGGCCGCTCACCTGGCACCTCAGGCCTTTTCCCCGCTTTCCTCTCCTCCTTTTCTCTCTCTCTCTCTTTCTCTCTCTCTCCTCCTCCTCCTCCTCCCTCCACCACCACCTTCCCTCTCTCCTCTTCCTCCGGCTCCTCTCCGCGGGCAACGGCCGCCTCGCCTCACCTCCCAGCCTGCTCCGCGCCCTCCCCCGCCTCACCTCCCATCATCCCTCGCGCCACTTTTTCCCACACCCCCCCCCTCCCCCGAACACTCCTGCTTCAGGCCGCCTCACCTCCCGGCCTGCTCCGCGCCCCCACCCACCAGCCCGCCTCACCTCCCATCGTCCCTCGCGTCACTTTTTCCTCACTCCGCCTTACGCCGCCTCACCTCCCAGCCTGCCCCGCGCCACCGCCGCCTCACCTCCCAGCCTGCCCCGCGGACCCAGCGTCGGCAGCCTCAGGCGGTGAATCGCAGCTGCGAGGGGGCGGATCCGTTGGATTTGTTTGGGCGTTGCCCTGGGCAACGGCAACGGGAACAGCCTCGCAGCCTCGTCACGTACCAGGGTTCGAGCCCCCGCTGCCTCACGAGAAACACACGCACATCACTCTGCTCCAGTCCTGGCCAGCAATCACCGGCGTAAACTTGGCGCCTGGCGACCCGCCTTCACGGTCAACCACAGGGCCGCGCAGCGCTTAATAATAATAACCCTCGCATTCGATAGAGCGCTTTTCACGTCGGGAGAGGACGTCCCAAAGCGCTTCACGGAACACACTGTAAAGTGAATTGACTGTATATGTTTGTGGGCGAACGCGGCGGCCGATTGCGCACAGCGATGTCCCACAAACGGTCGTGGATTGAAAATGACCAATTTATTATTGTTTTTGGTTTTGGAGGGATTATTATTAGGCTCTGTGTGGAGTAAGGAAACTTGCCCAAGGTTTCGCCCTCTGCCTGGGATTGAACTCAGGTCTCTCGCTTGCAAAGCGAGTGCTCTAACCGCTGAGCTACAGGACTCCACAGCGCGCGCTTGCGGGCAGCACGGAAACCCGACCGGAGGGGTTCACATCACGGGGGGGGGGGGGGAACGGCCAGAGGAAAGAGCGAACAAAGCCGGGTCGCAACGACTCGGTACGCTGCCTTGGGGAGGCGCGGGAGGTTGGAGGTGGTGCGGCGGCTGGAGAGTGGGAATAGGTCCAGGGGGAAGGTTTTTTTGAGGATGGGGGTGATGATAATCCCTCCAAAACCAAAAACGATCATTAAAAATTGGTCATTTTCAATCCACGACTGTTTGTGGGACATCGCTGTGCGCAATTGGCTGCCGCGTTCGCCCACAAATATACGGTCAATTCACTTTACAGTGTGTTCTGTGAACCGCTTTGGGACGTCCTCCCGACGTGAAAAGCGCTATATCAAATGCAAGGATTATTATTATTATTATGAAGCGCTTCGAGGGCATGACAAGGTACATCCAATGCAAGGATTAGTATGTTTCCAAACCAACTATATGGAACGTGGAAATTTCCTGTTGTCTGATATGGTATGAACACTGTATCCCCAAACCCTGCCTTGAGGGTATGTGCCTATTCACTTAATCCTGGGAAACATGAAGCACAGGTTGGTGAGGATCCAAGGCTTAGGGGTGTACATTGGAGTAACTGCTGGCATTTAACCAGATAAAAGCAGGTAGCTTGACTTTGCCAATGCAAGTATTGTCTGGCAAGGTTACGCTGCTCGTTTGACACTGTACACATTAGGATTTTGGTTCATTGAATTAATAGGAGCTGAGCGGGATGATTCCTGCCCTGTTGCCTGGTCTGCACCTCAAAGTCCTGCCAATGAGCCAGGCTGGGCTGTCACCAGCAGTGCCCTGGAGTACTGTGGACCCGCCCGGTGCAGGAACTGGTCCAGTGACTGAGGTTCAACAATGGTGAATAGGACAGAGTGGAGTACCCAATGCATCTCTGCTGTATCTGCCCTGGAACATTTGACGCCGACAATGGGAACCTCCATTAGTGCCAATTTTGCACTCAGCAGTTGTACAGGTCTATGACTTAGCCAAAGAATGAGATGAAATAATAATAATTACATTTGATAGGGCCTGATCACATCTTCGAGATGATTCGAAGTGCTTCACAGAATATACTATATAGTGGCTGCACATTTTGCAGCCAATTGCGCACAGCAGTGTCCCACAAAAAATCGTGGGTTAAGTGACCAAATTACTATTTGTTTTTAAAGGGATTATTAACCCCAGAAAACGATCCACCAATCGAGTTCCTACTTGCTGCTAAGCAAACAGAGGCATGTAGAGAAAGGAAACTTACCTAAGATTTTGCCCTGCCCAGGAAACGAACCCAGTTCCTCTGGCTTGCAAGGCGAGTGCTCTAACCACTATGCTACAGGACTTCATGCATGAAATGGCTTGAAGAGCTTCTCTCACTGAAGAGAAATCCTGGCCAAAGCTCCCAGCCATCAGTGCTTTCAGTGCATCGGCGCAGACTCGATCAAGTGAGAACATTTTATTTCAAATAGCATACAAGATACAACAGTGAAGAGAGACACCCGTGGACAGCAACAAAATCACAGGTCGATAGTCAATGAAAATATACAAAGATCTATTGATTTTTAGTTTCTTTTACATCTTCTGTTTCCTTCAGCCTTCGCTGGTGAGTGAGAGAGTGTTGCTCGCAGGTCCTAGCTGTCATCCCACAGGGGCTGTTCACTACTGCAATCAAAGGGAAGAGATCATAGAATATTACAGCACAGAAGGCGGCCATTTGGCTCATCGTGCTGGCTCTTTGGAAGAGCTACCCAATCAGTCCCACTCCCCTGCTCTTTCCCAATATCCTTGCATTTTTTTCCTTTTGAAGTACCTGTCCAATTCCCTTTTGAAAGTTGTTATTGAATGTGTTTCCACCAGCCTTTCAGGCTGTGCATTCCAGAATGTAATAACTCTCTGTGTAAAAAAAAAGTCTCTCCTGATTTCCCTGCTGGTTCTTTTGCCAATTATCTTGAACCTTTGTCCCCTGGTTACCGACCCACCTGCCAGTGGTAACAGTTTCTCTCTATCTACTCTATCAAAACCCCTCATAACAACAACAAGATTACATTTGTATAGCGCCTTTCACGTCGGGAGGATATCCCAAGGCATTGGACAGTGTACAGCATTTCAGACCCAAGATGGGGTTGGGGGGGGAGAAGGGATATGCCTCTATTTATAAAGATGTGACTCTCTCCTCCACTCATCTCCATGCTGAGACTCTCACTACAGCAGGAGATTTCCTAGCCCTCTCCACTGACCCCGAGGTCTCTGGAACTCCTCCCCAGAATCCCTCCATTCCGCACCCTCTCTCCAGGCCTTTCGCTTCTCTGCGAGTTTAAGGCCCATTCAATTCTGCCTCTTGGTTTAACGTTTCAACCGAGAGATAGCATCTGCAGTGCAACCCCAGCACTGCACCGGAGCGTCAGATTAGAGTGTATGAGCTCCAAGACTCAACTGTTTTTATATACATCTCAATCAGATCGGCACCCTTAACCTCCACAGCTCCAAGCAATAGAATGCCAATTTACCCAGGCTCCGAGCATTACTAAATCCACACCCAATCCATTGATGCAGTGCGTGGTAGTGGGAGCCACCCTTCCCCCCTGCTGGCTGGCACACAGCCCGACACATAGCACACAGCCTGATACACAGCAACCAGCCTCTCACACACCACACAGCCTGGCACACAGCACTCTACACAGCACAGAGCACGACACACACCCCTATACACAGCCCACAGCCCTATACACAGCACAGAGCCCGGCACACGGCCCTATACATTGCACATAGCCCAGAAAACAGCCCCTCACGCAGCCCTAAACACATCATACAGCCTGGCACACAGCCTTACCTTAGACTTGTTCTGGACGGGTAAGTACAGCTTGAACTCCGCGGGCAGCTCGTCCTCCGAGTACAGTCTGTCCGAAAAGTAAACTCTCCGAATCCGGCAATTGGCGTGTATCTGAGAGGCAAACGGTATTAATGCTTTAATGGCAAACGTTTTACAAACCAACACTGCCGATTCCACCAACCATTTTCTGGCCACTCAGCCCTACACCCGACTGAGGCAGAGGAACTGAGAAGCACCAGTTGGATCAATTCTTGAGAGAAAATAATATTAAGAGGCATCATGAATTTCAGTGCAGAGCTCCATTGGGAGAGCGAGCATCAGGATAAACACGATGGGGAGAGAGCAGGGAATGGGAATAGAGTAGAGAGGGTTATTATCCAATGGCTCCTGACTGGGGAAGGGGGCACCACGGGGAGAGGGTGGGTGGAGGGTTGGTGCCCGCACTGACCTGGACCCTCAGTGTCTCGATGTAGTTGGTGCCGTACGCCCGTCGGGTGAAGTCCGACAGGTTGAACTGGATTTGGTTCCAGCCGTCGTCAAGCCGCATGGGCATTGTGCAGATAAAAGGCTTGACTCGCGTCGTGCTCTGGTAGTTACTTGCTCGGAAACGTCGACGCACATTCTTATCGTCCAACACCTGCAGAATGAGAGGGAAGGGCAGAGAGTGAGGGGGCAGAGAGGGAGAAAGGGGGTAGAGAGGGAAAGGGGGGCAGAGAGGGAGAGAGGGGGGGAGAGAGGGCAGGAGAGAGGAAGAGAAGGGGGGAGCGGGAGGGGGGGGTGGTGGAGAAGACGGGATAGAGAGAGGGAGGGAGAAAGGGGTAGAGAGAGAGAGAACAAAGAGAAATGAGAAAAAGGCAAAGAGAGTGGGTAGAGTGTGAGTGGGGAAAGAGACACAGGATGGAGGGGGAAAGCGAGAGGGGAGAAGAGGACATACAGTCACTACACTTTATAGCAATAATAATCCTTGCATTTGATATCATGTCTTCGAGACGTCTCACAGCAAACACAATAAAACAAAGTTGAGTCACTTTTTCTTACCTGAACCTCGAAGGTGAAATATTTCTTCAAGTTCTTGATGATCATGACGAGGAACGGCAACTTGATCCCGAGGGTTTTCTTGGGATCTGCCGGGCACGTGATGTAGGTGGTGCTGAGGGGCGGGGGGGGCATGTGGAGGGCAGGGGGGAAACAGGGTAAAGTAACATTAAAGCAGAGACATGACACCCAGAAACAGCGGCTTGTGACGTTCTCCTGACAGGAAACGCACTGTATAACTGTAAATCTGTAATCTGTTTTCTAACTGGGTTGATCTGTATAAGGTGAACATCAGGAAGCCCATAGCTTAGTGGATAGCGGGCTCACCTCGCAAGCGAGACGACCTGGGTTTGATTACCGGGCAGGGCAAAACCTTAGGCAAGTTTCCTTACTCCACACGCCTCTGTTTACCTAGGAGTAAGTAGGAACCCGGTTATCATTCGATTGGTGGCTTTCTGGGAGTAATAATCCCTTCAAATAATGTTTTTAATTTTTTTTATAACCATTTGTGGGACACTGCTGTGCGCAATTGGTTTCCGGATTTCACTCGTGGAATACACAGTAAATTCACTTTAAAATATACTTGGGAAATCGCTTCGAGAAGTCTCAACGACGTGATAAAGTGCTATATCGCATGCAAAGATTATTATTAATATCAGACATTTGGGCAGGGGACCCAATTGAGATAGGACCTCATCGAGGGATTAGGGTTGGATTATATGGATGTTTCCATTTATTGGTGAGTCTATAACTAGAGGATATAAACATACACAAGTCAGTAACAGATCTAACAGGGATTTTACGAGGAACGTTTTCATACAGAGGGTGGTGGCAGTGTGCAACTCACTGCCGGTGAGAAGCAGAAAGCATCAATGTGTTAAAGAGGAAACTTAACATGAAGGAGAGGGGAAAAGAGATAGTAATAAACACCGACACATCCTAGTAGGCTTGGTCCATGTCATATCTCTATATGTAACTATACAACTTCTCTCCAACACAAGGGACATTGGGGAAAACTACTGTACTCTCGACTGAGATCAGTAACTCAGCACAGATTTGGGTTTGAACTGGGAACCTTTTCATAGAATCACAGAATATTATAGGAGGCCATTTGGCCAAATTCTGCTCATCTCCCCTCTGGTTCTTTTGTCAATTATCTTAAATCCATGTCCCCTGGTTCCTGACCCACCTGTCAGAGGAAACAGTTTCTTCCTATCTACTCTATCAAAACCCATCATAATTTTGAACACCTGTATTAAATCTCCCCTCAACCATCTACGCTCTAAAGAGAAAAATCTCAGCTAGACAATCAGCAACCCTAGTCTGTATGGTCTTAATATACTCTCCCCAGGAGGGATGGAGGTGGTGATGAGAAGCATATTGAGAAACACAGACCTTACAGCCATTATTAGAGACTCACCTGACATTGGTGCCCTCCACCTCCAGCACCAGAGACTGGATGTCATTATCTGTGATCCTCTTTATGTGTCCATTTCTCACCTGAACACAAACAGATTGAGCTCAATCCACGACTATTTGTGGGAGACTGCTGTGTGCAATTGGCTGCCATGTTTTGCCCACAAATTATATAGTCAATCCGCTTTACAGTATATTCTGTGAAGCGCTTTGAGATGTCTCGAAGGCGTGATAATGTCAATTGCAAGAGGTCTTCAAAATGGTGAGAGGTTTTTAGAAGGTGATGAGAGAGAAACTCTTTCCACCCACCAGTCACTAAGTCAGTATCTTGAGAGTATCAATTTAATATCCTCACCAAAACAACATAGCAAAGTTTGAATTTTACCAACGCAAACACAGTTAGTTATTTGCATGTAGAATACCTGACCAACCACAACAGTTGTTTTAAAATAAATTAACAATAATGATACTAATAATTGGAGACAGTGCGGGGAATGTTGAAACATCTGAAAGTAATAATAATAATAATAATCCTTGCATTTGATATTGCGCCTTATCATGTCTTCTCGACATCTCAAAGTGCTTCACAGGATATACTGTAAAGTGAACTGGTTGTATATTTTGTGGACAAAAGTGTCTCAAAGCAGCAATTGCTGTCAAGTGCAGTGACCTAACAGTATCTGTAGTGACTCGAGTATTCGAAGGCAGAAGCCATTTTGCACCCAGCAATGTCACCGACAGCCAGAAAATGTCAAGAACCATAACAACCCACAGCACCCTTCACACGGGCAGCGTGTCGAAAGCTGCGCTGTGACAAGGCTGGACGCCAAGCAAGGGAGAAGGAGAGGTGACCATAGGCGCGTTCAAAGAGGTGCGTCTTAAATTTGTTTTTTTGGGGGGTCATCCGGGTGTCTGACATATGCGGAAACCAATCACCATGCGTCCCAACGACAATTTGAAATCCCAGAGATAGATAGTGCGAATGGAATACGCACTCTCTCCTGGAGGGATGTATCCAGCGTCCGGAGAGTAATAGGTGCAGGTTAGCAAAAGCCAAGGCTTGGGGACCCCAGAGTGTGCGTTGGGCTAACTGTTGGGAGTCTAAACCAGCTGAATTCACACACCTCGCCATTGAGAACAACGTCTGGCCAGCATTCCCGCTGCTTATCCAGCAAGGACCACCCTCTCCGTGAGGGATTTGGCTTGCAGGGTGAACGGGAGCCAAGTGGGAGGATTCCCTGCCCCAATGACTGGTCTGCCTTTCCAAGTCCAAGACGATGAGCCGGACTGTGTTGTGATCAGCAGTGCCCCGAAATACTGAGAACCTGCCCGGCTGAGGAATCGGACTACTGAGATCGCCACAGAAGGGCGGCTCGATTCAGATATTCCGTTGCCAAGCATCTCACCTTGAGCCGATTCAACTCCAAGGAGACCCTGCTCACCTCGCCCTCTGACGCCCTCTGATACAGCGCTGGGCGGAGCGAGCGCTGCGTGGTTGGAGATGGCATCTTTCAGATAACCGTCACAATAATGCAAGAACGATTACGATAAACAAACAACCCTTTCCGAGAGCCACGGGACAGGATCCAGTCTAACATGCGAAATCATTCTCGCGATCCTTATACGCGACGCAGCGCCTTTCGCCTCAGGGGGGACGTCTCAAAGCTCTTCGCGGGAGGATTTACTGCACAGTGCGGCGGCCGTGCGTTTTGTGGGCAAACGCTGTGCGCGCGGCAACGTCCCACAAACAACCACGCAAGCGTGCGACCAATTTTAATCGGGGGAATTGTTGGCCAGGACACCAGGGGAGAGAGAGAGAGAGAGGGAGAGAGAGAGAGAGAGAGAGAGAGAGGAACTCCCTTCTCTTTTCCAATGGCGCGGCGGGATCGTGAAGATCCACCCGGACAGGCGCAGACCGGGCCCCTCGGTTTGACCTCTGGTCCGAAGGACGTGCGCCTCCGACGATTGCTGGGGGTGGGGGGTGGGGGGGGGGGGGGGTGGGGTCAATCTAACCCTCGGTGGGGTTTTGCCCACAAAATACGCGGTCGCTGCACCGTATGCGGTAAGATCGAAGCCGCGAAGCGCTTCGAGGTGTCTGAACGAGGCGATGAGGCGCTATCATCAAGTGCAGGGATTATTATTATTATTATTATTATTATTATTATTATTATATACTGTGTATATGTTGCTGTGAAGGTGGGGACCAACTGAGCATTTGGTCAAACGTTTCTATGAGATGTTATTTTGTCCCCCAAAATATCAGCCGCGTTTCACACACAGCACATGGCCTCCATCAAGGCCACACCCCCCCCCCCCCACCACCACCACCACCACCAGCCCTCTCTCTCGGACTCCCCCAGAGCCTGGGCCTAGGCTGCCCGCGCGCTCCCCCCGGGCTCGGGTACCTGGGCTCCTCGCTCTCCCCTCCCCTCCCCGGGGCCTGGGCTTAGGGCTCTCCCCTCCCCGGGAGGCCTGAGGCCCGGGGCTGCCCGCTCTCCCCTCCCCTCCTCCCCTCCCCTCCTCCCCCTCCTCGGGGGCCTGGGGCCCGGGGCTGCCCGCTCTCCCCTCCCCCCCACCCCGGGGCCCGGGCTCCCCGCCCTCCCCTCCCCGGGGCCCGGGGCTCCCCGCTCTCCCCTCCCCACCCCGGGGCCCGGGCTGCCCGCTCTCCCTCCCCTCCCTTCCCCGGGGCCCGGGGCTGTCCGCTCTCCCCTCCCCTCCCCGGGGCCCGGGGCTGCCCGCTCTCCCCTCCCCGGGGCCCGGGCTGCCCGCCCTCCCCTCCCCTCCCCGGGGCCCGGTCTGCCCGCCCTCCCCTCCCCTCCCCGGGGCCCGGGCTGCCCGCCCTCCCCCGCCCTCCCCGGGCTCGGGTACCTTCTTGTCCCAGATCTGGAGCGGTTTGCTGCCGATGCTGTACAGGATGGAGAGGAAGCCGCTCTGGAAGGTGTTCTTGAACATGTCGCCGCCGCTCAGGGCTCCGCGGCCGCTGCTGCCCAGCGCCGGCCGGTTGCTGGGCTGGTCGCTAAGGCGGTTACCATGGCGCCGCTGCGGGGCGTTGCTAAGCGCGTTGCCATGGCACTCCCCCCCCCCCCCCCCGCCCCCCCCGGGTTCTGTTTGGGGAGCCACGTTACCCGGGTGATGCACCCTTCCCAGGGGGGGGGGGGGGGGGGGGGGGGGGGTGACAGGTCATCGGGCAAAGAGGGTGCCGCACGCAGGAGTCCCGTCAGCTTTCCAACGGGGTTCGAGCCCCGCCCGGCCCCGCCCGCCCAGCCGGGGATCGGGTGGGGGGGGCGAAACGTTGGGCGGGCTTGCTTCGCTCGGCACGTACCCCCCCCCCGCCCGGCCCCCGGCCCCCGGTCGCCCCGGTTTGTGGGAGGGGCGCGGCCGCCGGGTTCCGCCCGCAAAATGCGCGGTGGGTTCGCTTTGCGGCCCGTGCTGTGCGGCGCCTCGAGACGCCTCGAAGACGTGATAAGGCGCGACATCGAGTGCAAGGATTCTTACTGTTATTACCGAGTTACTGTACACAGAGGGGATAGAGTCACTGTTCGGATCAGACGATAGGAACAGGAATAGGACATTCAGCCCCTCGAGCTGTTCCGCCATTCTGTAAGATTGTGGCTGATCTGTACTTCAACTCCAATTATCTGTCTTTACTCCATATCCCTTGATACCCTTACCTAACAAATATCTATATATCTATTTTATATTAACATGGTCACTGTTAACATCAGGACTAACTCTAAACGTGAGATGGTGGATTTCCTCAAGTCCAAGATTCAGGGGATCCGCTCTGTTGCCTCCGTCCTTTCTATCTCCCTCTTTCCCCGGCTTCCACCTATCACTCCCTTTTGACCCTGTCACCCCCTCTACTCTCACCTCCATTATTTCCCAAATGTAGCCCATCACCTGCTCTCTTGACCCCATGGCTACCCCTCTAACGTAGCTCCCAGCTCCACCTCCTTGTCGCCGTTTAATGGCACGGTACACACTCCTTTAAAAATCACCCCAGACACCCGCCGGTCACGGTGACGGGTTTCCATGTGTGTCAGACACCCGCCCGGTCACGGTGACGGGTTTCCATGTGTGTCAGACACCCGCTGGTCACGGTGATGGGTTTCCATGTGTGTCAGACACCCGACCGGTCACGGTGACGGGTTTCCGTGTGTGTCAGACACCCGACCGGTCATGGTGACAGGTTTCCATGTGTGTCAGACACCCGACCGGTCACGGTGACAGGTTTCCATGTGTGTCAGACACCCGCCCGGTCACGGTGACGGGTTTCCATGTGTGTCAGACTCCCGCTGGTCACGGTGACGGGTTTCCATGTGTGTCAGACACCCGCTGGTCACGGTGATGGGTTTCCATGTGTGTCAGACAACCGACCGGTCACGGTGATGGGTTTCCATGTGTGTCAGACACCCGCTGGTCACGGTGACGGGTTTCCATGTGTGTCAGACACCCGACCGGTCATGGTGACGGGTTTCCATGCGTGTCAGACACCCGACCGGTCACGGTGACGGGTTTCCATGTGTGTCAGACACCCGCTGGTCACGGTGACGGGTTTCCATGTGTGTCAGACACCCGACCGGTCACGGTGATGGGTTTCCATGTGTGTCAGACACCCGACCGGTCACGGTGATGGGTTTCCATGTGTGTCAGACACCCGACCGGTCACGGTGATGGGTTTCCATGTGTGTCAGACACCCGACCGGTCACGGTGATGGGTTTCCATGTGTGTCAGACACCCGCTGGTCACGGTGACGGGTTTCCATGTGTGTCAGACACCCGCTGGTCACGGTGATGGGTTTCCATGTGTGTCAGACACCCGCTGGTCACGGTGACGGGTTTCCCTGTGTGTCAGACACCCGCTGGTCACGGTGACGGGTTTCCCTGTGTGTCAGACACCCGCTGGTCACGGTGACGGGTTTCCATGTGTGTCAGACACCCGCCGGTCACGGTGACGGTTTTCCGTGTGTGTCAGACACCCGGCTGGTCACGGTGACGGGTTTCCGTGTGTGTCAGACATCCATAGGTCACGGTGACGGATTTCCGTGCGTGTCAGACACTCAGTTGGTGGTGAGAAACTTCAGCCTCAGTGGCAGCGGACTACATCTCCCACGATACCTTGCGGTAGCTTCCGGTAGGTAGAGTTCGCGGAGGGAGGGGGGGGGAAGGGGGTGCGCGGCGGTGTCGCCTCACGTGACCAGCCAGCCAGCGCAGCTCCGCGCTCCGATTGGTCGGCCGCCGCGTCAATCGAGGCGGCGCGTCGGCTCGGCCCGCCTCCCCGCCGCCGCGCGCACGTGACCGTAACTTCCGGTGGCGGCGGCGGCGGCGCGTGCGGGCGGGCGGGTGGGTGAGTGACGGTTGGAAATCAAATCTCTCGGCCGTTTAATGGCGGTTTGTAACCGTTAAAATTTTTTTTGTGTATATATATATATCTTTCTGACACGAGAGAGAGAGAGAGAGAGAGAAAGAGAGTCTGGTTCTCCGCCAACAGCGTAAGGTCAGCACTTGTATTATGATAATAATAATAATAATAATAATAATAATCCTCGCATTTGATATAGCGCTTTTCACGTCGGGAGAGGACGTCCCAAAGCGCTTCGCGGAACACACTGTCGAGTGAATCGACTGTACGTTTGTGGGCGAACGCGGCAGCCGATTGCGCACAGCGACGCCCCACGGACAGTCGTGGGTTGAAGACGAGCAATTTTTATTCTTGGTTTTGGGTTTTCGGAGCGATTATTATTCGGGCTCCGCCTGTGCGGAGTAAGGAAACTTGCCCGAGGTTCGGCCCTCCGCCGGGGATTGAACCCGGGTCTCTCGCTCGCCACGTTTCCTTACTCCACACAGAGCCTCATAATAATCCCTCCAAAAAAACCAAAACAATAATAAATTGGTCATTTTCAATCCGCGACTGTTTGTGGGACATCGCTGTGTGCAATCGGCTGCCGCGTTCGCCCACAAATATACAGTCAATTCACTTTACAGTGTGTTCTGTGAAGCGCTTTGGGACGTCCTCTCCCGACCTGAAAAGCACTATATCAAATGCGAGGATTATTATTATTATTATTATTATTAAAGCGAGCGCTCTGTGACCGCTGAGCTGCAGGACTCCATGTACGCTCCTTGTATACTGCGTGAAGCCTAAGAATCAGAGGTATTTCTTCTCGTTGCAGAGTTTGGAGCGACGGTCGGGGGGAGCTGGAGCCAGGAGGAGGCTTTGCCATGTTGGCTGAAGATCAGGCAAGGGAACTGCTATCTTTCCTGTCGCTGGACACACGGGCCGACGTGAAGGGCCAGGCCACGGGGTACCTGCTTGGGCTCACCGGCAGCAAGGATGGCTGCGAGTACTTGGGGCAGAGAGTGGACTTCCTGCGGGCGCTGCTGAGGCTAACCGAGGACCGCTCGCCTGCCGTGGTCAAGGATTGCTACTTCGTCCTCGTCAACCTGTCCGCGGAGGAGTCTGCCCACGACGCGCTGGTGAAGGGAGCAGGGCTGCTTCCAGTCCTCCTGAAAAACTTACTGGACCCGGGCTACCAGTTTTCTGACCAGATCTGTTCCATTCTCTCCAATCTCTCCCGGAGAGAGGCCACATGTCCAGCGGTGTTGCGAGCCATCCAGACCGAAGAGATTGGTCTGGCCCGCATCGTGGAGATTTTTTGCACTGAGGGTTACAACAGGAAAGCTTCACTCCATTACTTGGGTCCCCTGCTCTCCAATCTCACCCAGTTACCAGAGGCCAGGCATTTTGTCCTGGATAAGGACAGGTCAGTCATCTTTCCTTTGCCTCTAACTTGTAGTAAGGTTCAGGAATGTTTAAACATTAGATCTGTGCACTCAGCCGCCTCTACCCTCCCAACAGCTGCTTCCTCCCCATCTCCCCCCTACACACCAGCCCCTGCCCATCCCTCCCTCCACGCCTTCGAACCTGTCTCCCCTTCCTCTCTCACCACCATTATAACCCACTTGAAACCCACCAACTGCTCACCTCGACTCCATCCCGATCCTTATCTCCCAGCTCCATCTCTTTGTCCTTTTACTCATAGACCTCATCAACCTCTCCCTGTCCACTGGTACCGTTACCACCCCCTTATAAAAAGCCGTCATCACCCCTATTTTCAAAAAAAAATCCCTGCTCTCAAATTACTGCCCCATCTCCAACCTCCCTTTCCAAGGTCCTTGAACGAGTCGTTGCTTCCCAGCTTCGCTCCTTCATCTCGTGCCACTCCCGATACAAACCCTTCCAATCGGGTTTCCATGCTGCCCATAGGATTATTAACCCCGGAAAAGTGATCCGCCAATTGACTAACAACAGGGTTTCTACTTACTGCTAGGTAAACAGAGGCATGTGGAGTAAGGAAATTGGCCAACTTTTCGCCCTCCATGGGAATCGAACCCAGGTCCACTCGTTTGTGAGGCGAGGTGCTCTATCCACTAAGCTACAGGGCTGCACTGTATGTGGTGATGAGATGGGGGGAATTAACTGTCTCCCTGTGTCTGTCTAATGCAATGTCTGTGTTTGTATCACAGGTGTGTGGTTCAGCGGCTCCTGCCCTATACCCAGTTCCAGGACTCTACTGTGCGGAGAGGAGGTGTGGTGGGCACCCTCAGGAACTGCTGCTTTGACTATTGTGAGTCTTCTGCATGTTTTTATTATGCCCCTCTTTAGCTCATGTTCAGATTTGGGCTGGTGACAACTCTTGTCCAAGCTGTCCACCAATGTCTCTGCTTTCTTTCACCTTCTTTCTCTGTGTTATTCTATCTTTAATCATTTCTATTTCCTTTTGGTCTCCATGAGCCCATATCCCCTCTGCCTTATAAACTCTACTCTAATCCTATTCCCTGCTCTCTCTCCATCGTGTCTGTGCTGCTGCTCGCTCCCCCACTGGAACTCTCTACTCTAAACCCATTCCCTGCTCTCTCCCCATCATGTCTGTACTGGTGCTCACTCCCCCACGGAAGCTGGCTACTCCAGTACCATTCCCTGCTCTCTCCCCATTATGTCTGTGCTGGTGCTCACTCCCCTCCGGAGCTCTCTACTTGAGTCCCAGGTAAGGTCGTAGTAGTACAAGTTCGTACCCACAGGAGAAGCAGGTCGAGGAATGCCATGTTTGCTTAGAAGATGAGCGATGCGGTTTGGCATTTGTCTCCTAAATGAACAAGTGATCTGCATGGATTACAGGGACAGCCCCTGCTTCCCCTCCCCCTTGTTTTATACCATACAGTTAAAATATTATGTCTGTCTTAATCTCAGATATCTTCTTCCTTCCTATCAGCCTACCACTCGTGGCTGTTGAGCGATCAAGTGGACCTCCTGCCTTTCCTGCTGCTGCCGCTGGCAGGTCCTGAGGAATTAAGCGAGGATGAAATGGAAGGTAAGATCAGGCAGACTGCTTTGGCAAGAGTGCATGGGGGTAACCAGCACCAAATCCTTCTCCGTTCTCTGCAGGCGGAGCAGTTGGGTTTACAGTTAGCCTCATTGTCGCCTGGGATATCATTTGCTGGGTGGTGAGGGTGTTGAGCTGACTGCCTGTGATGTGTGTTGGCTGTGCTGTGTGTGGGCTGTGCTTTATGTAGGCCAATTGCCTGTGCTGTGTATTACAGGGTTGCCTGTGGATCTCCAGTATCTGCCCGAGGACAAGCAGCGAGAGAAGGACCCAGATATCCGCAAAATGCTCATTGAGGCCATTAACCTTGTAAGTGATGGACGAGGTGGGGTGTCTGTGTTGTGGGGGTGTCTGTGTACTGGAATTCACAAATGAGGTCCTCTCTCTGTGTGAAAGGGTCCCTCTGCCTCCTTATCCTCCTTGATCTCTTCACTTCTCTCAACATCATACCATTCTCCTCCACCGCCTCTCCTCCTGCAGCGTGTCCCTCACTCAGTGGAACCACATTCTACTGGTTCCAGCCCTACTTAACTAAATGGCACTTTGTCATAGCACTTTGTCTCTGCAATGGAGTTCCAGAGGGTGGGAGCAGAACAACAAATTGTATTTATACAGCGTATTTTACGATAGGTTGACCTCCCAAGGCACTGGACCATAATTTGCATCTGACCTGGGGGTTGCGAAGCATCAGTGGTCGGATCTTCAGCCTTTCTGTTCCACCCTTTGGAACTCCATCCCTCAGTTCCTTTGCCTCGCTCCTTCCCTTGCTTCTTTCAAGGCACGTCTCAAGACTCATTCTCTTTGACAGTGCCTTCGGGCACCTTCCTACCCCCACATTTCCTGCCCTCCACCCACCCCGATCCCAACCCTTAGCTTGGGTCCAAATCCCTGACTGTCCAGCTCCTCGGGACGTCCTCCCGACGTGAAAAAAGCTATACACATGTAATTTGTTGTTAGACAGGTATCAGAAAGATTAGAGAGCTCAGGTGGGCTAATAGGGCTGAAGGAGGCGGTAGCAGCAGGGAAGGAGAGACTGTGAAAGGATAGGAAGGTGCACGTGAGGATCTTGAAGCTGACGTGCTGGGGAACCAGTAATGTCACTTGAACATCAATCCCTTGCTCTTACCTCTCAGTTGACGGCGACTAAAAGTGGGCGAGAGCAAGTGCGGGAGAGGAATGCCTATGTGGTGGTGCGGGAACTGCACAAGTGGGAGCCGGAGCCGGACGTTCAAGCAGCCTGTGAGAAGCTAGTGCAGGTGGGAACACAGGAGCTCTGCTCTCTATCTCTCCCTTTCCCTGTCCCTTCCCATCACTGTGTGTCACTGCTCTCTCTTCCCCCCTCTCACCACTCACACACACATTCACTTACACACTCACTCACAATCACAAAAAGCCCCACTGTGTCCCACTGGTCTCTTTTCCTCCCTCCTGCACAAAAAACTACTTTATTTTGGTCATGCAGGTGTCCAGCACAGACAGGAACCTAGTACCAGGCTTAAAAATACCCAAACCAGACAGAGTTCCACGAGTATATGCCACCTATGTATCTCTCCAGGTGCTGATATCAGACGAGCCCGAGGAGGGGATGGAGAATCTCCTAGAGGTGGAAGTGCCAGAAGAGATCGACGAGAAACTAAGGCAGCAGGATGAGGAAGAGCAGCGGCTCATCGAGAAGGAACGAGAGGAGCTTCTGAAGAAGGAAGAAGAGAAGGAGAATGGGGAGAGAGCGCGAGGAGAAAGGCCAGCAGGACTGGGGAGATAATGCTGTGCTGTGCTGTGCTGAAAGACTATACCAAGCTATGATACTGCTAATCCCTTTAATGTCAGGTCTCAGCTTGGCTCAGTTGGTCGTGCTCTTGTCACTGGGGTTAAAAAGTTGTGCGTTCAAGCCTCATGCCAGCAGTTGAGCTCCATCCAGCGCAGTAAAGGTGGAGCTCTGCATCAGCACAGGTGCAATCCTTCAGATGAGCTGTTAAAACAGATCTCAACTGTGCCTGTTCAGGTAGGACGGAAGTGAAAGATCCCGCGGTGGTATTCAAAAAAAAAAGAAGAGAGTTTGTCACAGTGTCCTGTCTGCTGTTCCTCCCGATTAATTTTGTCCACAAACTACACAATTCACTTTACTATATATCCTGTGAAGCGCTTTCAGACATCTCGAAGGCATGATAAGCGCTATATCAAACACAAGGATTATTATTAATTAATCATTCACCTCAAAGCTGTGTGTGTGCGTAACCTTGCTATGTACGAAATGGTCTTTGCTTACAAACACACTCGCTGCCTTTGACCGCATTGCTCTGAATCGCTTTGTGGTGTTTGGATGTGATCTAGTGCGATAGAAATGACCTTGTATGACTTAGCCTACATCTTTATGGAACCTTTCACAATGTGGAAGGAGTATGTGTGTGCCAGGCAGGTGCGGTGAGGTGGTGAGTGGGTGCTGCTATCGAGCCAAGGCAGTCCCCTCTCTGACATCTGCCAAATAAGTCCCTTCATAGAGTTCAAAAATCTTGCCTTCGCCTTCAAAGCCCTCCACGGCCTTGCTCCTTCCTACCCGTGACCTACTAACACCATTTCAACATCTCCGCTCAGCAGACTCCGGCCTGCTCCACGTCACCCAGCCCGCCCCACCATTGGCAATTGGGCCTTCAGCCTCTCTGCCCCAACCCTTTGGAACTCCAGCCTACAGTTCATTCGCCTCGCGCTCTCCCTTACCTCCTTCAAAGCACGTCTCAAGACCCTCCTCTTTGACCGCACCTTTAGCCACTCTTCTAGCCCCACCCTCCCCATCCTCACCCCTCCTGATCCCAACCCCCAGCTCGGGTCCAAATCTCTGACTAGCCAGTGCATTGGGACATCCTGCTGATGTGAAAGGTGCTGTGTAAATGTAATTTGTTGTTATTCACTGCCTACAACAGGGTTTTCTCTGTGACGGTCACTTCCAAGGGTGTAACACTGTAAACATAACCTGCTGGCCTGGTCTGCTGTGCTCTGGCATTTTTCCCAAAGGAGCAAGTGACCCGGTGGTGATGAGTCCCTTTGACTTCTCGCTCTCTTGCAGTGGAGCCTGAAAGTGAGACCATACGATCTAGTGAGCGTTGGAAAAGTGTGCGCGTGGTTTCTGAGCGATGCTGAGCTATGCTGATCTAATCAATAAAAAGAGCAAGTTATTGAGTGAAATCTTTATTATGTATCTAGAAACCAGAATGAAGAGTCTCAGCGCCATGTGAAAAGAGGAGAGATGTGAGATTTTCCATGAATTAGCATTAGCTAAGGCCAAGCTTGGAGTTTAAAAGCCTGTAGAGTATAAGAGGAAAGGAAGACTGAGGGAGGAGAGGAGCTCATGCCTTGATCCTGAACAAAAGAAGAGGTTTCAGTGTTAACCCAGAAGAGCGTATGGAAAGAGAAGACTAAAAGGACAGTTCAGAGAAACTAAACCAAAGTCTTGTGGATAAACCAAAAAGGCAGGAAGTGTTGGGATGGAATCAGAGGATGGAATGGAATCAGAGGTCAGGGAGACATCACCTGTGAGAGGAGCTGGGAGAACCACCTGAGGTATGAGAACAACTTTCAATTCTTGGGTAGATTTGGGATTTTTTGCCATGGTGTGAGAGGGCCTGGCTCCCTATTGGAATGATTGTGTTTGGCTGGTGCTGGACTTGAGAATGGTGGGATTGTTTCCAAATGAGAAGCAGGTTTTGTGTGAAAACCAGAAGTCTCCTCTGCTGGTGACAGAGAAAGTTACTGTGCTAATACTTACCAAACATTCTCACTCACTCACTCTTGACTCATTGCGAGAAATTCTTATTTAATACGAACTTGAACCTTACCACTGTAGGTCTAGAACAAGGAAAGGCACCAACCCCACTCCTCCACTGGCGTAACGGAAACCCCATCACTTACAGTACGGTGTAAAACTGGTCACTCACTCAATGGCTCTGCACAAATTGGCTGCCGTGTTTCTCCCACAAAATAGGCGCAGACACAAGCTCTTTACAGTATACCCTGTGAAATGCTTCGATAAGTCTCGGTGACATGGTAAGGCGTGATAGCAAATTAAAGGATTATTATTACTAAGTTTCAGTATTGCCCGACTCGTCAGGGGTCACTGATGCATCTACACCTCCAGGTTTTGTTGAGCCAAGTTGGATTCTCCTCAGCACTTGTCTGTCTCCTGATCCTCGGGAGATGATGCTTATCTGACAATGTTCTCCACGGCCCTGGTGGAGAGATATTTTAGACATAAGCATTTTATTGGGTACAAAAAAGGTGATGGACCAAGTGGATCCACAGGATTCAAACCCAGTACATTCTGGTCGGGTGCAGTAGTCTTGCCTCACAGGTTTGGCTTTTGAGTTGAAATTAAAATCACTACAGCATTGGTCTCCTTTATTAAAGCTCTTTTCTCCTCTCAATGTCGCCCTGGAAACTATTCCAGCACAAGTCTTTGACAAAGCTGAGGCACAAAGCTCTAACGGGTAGGATGGTTCTAGCTGGACAACCAGTGGGAAAGCTTGCCAGACTGTGATATCAATGGCAAGCTGTGTGGTTTTAGCTGGTTAGACTCCGGCAGTTACCCCAACATACGCTCTGGGGTCCCAAAGTCTTGGCCCTTGCCAACCTGCCCCCTAATACTTTCTGGAATTAGGTAAGCAGGATGCATCCCTTCAGGGAGAGAGTGCGCCTTCCACTCCAATAATCAATCTCTGGAATTTCCATGTGGAGGTGGGATGTACGGAAATCTCATCTTGGTTTGAATACTCTTAAGCATGGTGATGGGTTTCCGCATGCGTCAGACACCCGGCTGACCAAAAAAAAGGATATTTACTTCATGGCTGTGTGTGGCACCTTGCTATATGTAAATTGGCAAGTACACTGTCACTAAACTTAACAGCAATGAGCTGTGAAGTGTTTCAAAATATTTCAACGTTCTAGGTGCTGTAGCAAGTGCAAGGGTTATTATAAACTTCCCTTTAAACTACAGTCGATCAACAGCCATTTGTGGCAAAGCATTCCACGTGTTACTAACACTGTGTGAAAAATTTCTTCTAGTCTCTAGCTGTAGTCCTGTAGCTTAATGGTTAGAGCACTAGCCTAGCAAGAGGACCTGGGTTTTTATTCCAGGGCAGGGTGAAACATTGGGCAAGTTTCCTTACTCCACATGACTCTGTTTACCTAGCAGTCAGTTGGAACCTGGTTGTTAGTCGATTGACGGATTGCTTTTCTGGGGATAATAATCCCTTCAAGTAATAAAGAATTTTAATAATAATTATTTTCTCACTCATTCCGTGACTATTTGCGGGACACTGCTATGCGCAATTGGCTGCTGCGTTTCGCCCACAAAATATGCAATCAATTCACTTTACAGTATATTCTAGTGAAGCGCTTTGATTTGTCTCGAAGACGTGATAAGCCGATATATCAAATTCAAGGATTATATTATTGCCCTCTGCCCAGCTCTCCCAGTCTCCATTCCATCCTAAACCCACCTCACTCAAATCAATGTTCCCTGCTTATACTTTGCGAGGGTTGAGTTTTTATTTATTGAACAAATGTCAATCACCTCAGAAACCTCGGCCTATAAAACACTTATGGATTCGGATTAAAAAAATGTAGTGAGAGGGGTCGGGGCCATTCGGGGTTTGGGGCAGTGGGGGGTTGGCGAGAACACGAGAGATCAGGAGCCTCGGGCTAAGAGACTACTCGCTCCTGCACCTCTCTCCATTCTCAAAGTTTGAACACTAACAAGGAAACAAAGGCTAAACAGAGGATGAAAGTGAGAATTGGCCATCTGTCCCTGCCTCCAGCCACCCCACCTCCGCTCAGTCCTCCTGCCCTGGCCTGGCAGCTAGTTTATATCGGGCTTATTCTCTGGCAGGATCTGGCTTTACGCAATGGGAAAAGCCACTGCTCAATGACTGGACGCTTGCTCGGCAGCTGGGAGTCCCTGGGTGCGGCCGAGACTATGTATCTCCGAGCCGGGTCCCGGGGAGGTCTGGAGGTTGAAGGGGGTCTCGGCTTGTGGGTGAAGAGCTTGCTGGAATCCTTGGACTCTCTGTCTGCATCTTTGATGGGTCTGTCGAGTGCTTGTGGAGACTGACACCATACTGAGTCCAGGTCGAGGCCAGCCCACTCCAGAGACTCCAGTTTGTGCATCGGTCCATTTGTCTTCAAATTATAGACAGCAACTCCCTTCGCCTTTGAGTTTCTGTTCCCTGATGCTTTTTCTCCTGAAGATAGAAAACTATAGTTTTAAAGTGCTGGTGCTAGCAACCTAACATAATAACATACGATATGCGAGACAAAAAAAACAAGTATTTTCCGTGCTCTCTCTCCCCATCATGTCTGTGCTGGTGCTCGCTCCCCCACTGGAGCTCTCTACTCTAACCCCATTCCCTGCTCTCTCTCCCCATCGTGTCTGTGCTGATGCTCGCTCCTCCCATCTACTCTTAAGACCATTCCTCATATCTTTTAAAAATATTATGCTTCCAAAGTTTATCAAAGATAATTGTAAATGTTATGTCAGACTCTGCTTCAGTCACCACACGTTCCTCATCTTCAAATTCTTTGTTTCAAAACATGTTAACCTGTTCCTTTACACTTCTAATAATAGAAGTCCTGTAGTTTAATGGTTAGAGCACTTGCCTCGCAAGCGAGAGGACTTGGATTCGATTCCCGGGCAGGAGATTCCCGGAAAAGGTGCCAGACAGCAATATCAATGGCAAGCTATCCGGTTTTAGCTGGTTAGACTCCAGCAGTTACCCCCAACGCACACTTTGGGGTCCTCAAGCCTTGGCACTTGCCAACTTGTGCCTAATACTTTCCAGAATTAGGTAAGCAGGTTGCGTCTCTCCAGGGAGAGAGTACGCATACCATTCCAGCAATCTTTCTCTAAGATTTCCATTTCTAGGTGGGATGCATGGAAATCTCAGCTTGGATTGGATATGCTTAAGCATGGGGGTTTTCACAGGTGTTAGACCCCCGGCTGCGCACAAAAAAATGTCCTATAGACCCCAACTTCAGGATAGATTGAGATATTGGAAACGTCATTCGTCCTTCCCTACTTCTGTCCAGTAACAGTGTCTGGTTAGGCATGGGTCACGACACATACCTTTGCTGCTATTCCCTCGGTGTTGACTCCTGTCCGTGGAATCTGTGAGGATGTCTCTGACTCTCTGGAAGATGAAAGAGATGGCGGGGAGCATCCAGGGGTGGGCAAGGATCTGCGTCAGTTCTGGCCGTGCCGACGGGCACCACTGAAGGAGCTGGCTGATCAGATCCTGACATTCTGCAGTGAAGGAAACCCGGCACAGAACTGTTACCAGCATCGGCCGACAAATACAGTCACCATACATAATAATACTGTAATAATAATCCTTGCATTCGAGATAACCCCTATATAGTTGCACAGAGCAGTGTCCCACGACTGTTTATGGGACATTGCTGTTTGCAATTAGCTGCCGCGTTTCACTGAAAAATACACGGTCAATCCATTTTACAGCATATCCTGTGGTGGGCTTTGAGACGTACCTAAGACGTGATGAGGCGCTATATCAAATACAAGGATTATTATTATGACTCTTATTCGTCTATCTTCCAGCTGAGTGTTTTACCTGGTGACAATTGCTGGTGGAACTTGATGCCTCGCTTTATGAGCTGCAGCATTTTCTGAGGTTGACATTCATTGAAGGGGAGCTTCCCGGTTACCATGGCATAGAGGATCACTCCCCTAGGAAAGAGCAATGTGTACGAACTGAGTGAGCAGAGCCTGAGACAACCCGAGCCCAAACCTGTCCACCCCAAGCAGCAGGGGAGGGACTACTGTAACTAATTATACACCAAGAGAGGTTTATTATGCGCCACGTGTAAACTATGTGTAAAAACAGATCTATTATTCTGTTTCTTAATAATAATAATCCTTGCATTTGATGTAGCGCCTTATCACGTCGTTGAGACGTCTTCAAACTCTTCACAGAATATACTGTAAAGTGAGTTGACTATATTTTGTGGACGAAACGCCACAAAAATTCTCCTCATTTCCCTTCTGGTTCTTTTGCCAATTTATCTTGAATCCATGTCCCCAGGTGACATGTCCCTGATGCCCTCACTGTATCACAGTGCTTACATGCTCCAGATGTCTGCACGCTCCCCTTTGTAGCTCTGCTCAAGGAGAATCTCTGGTGCGGTGTAGGGGACTGAGCCACAGAAAGTGCTCATCAGACCTCTCTTGGTACACCTGCCGGCCAAGCCGAAATCTGCAGGACAGCAAATGTTAGTTAGGATAATTGCAGAAGTGACAACAACGACAACAACAAAATTACATTTATAGAGCACCTTTCACGTCGAGAGGATGTCCCAAAGCGCTGACCAGTTACCCAGCTGCGCACTCACACACACAGCTCACAGCTAGGAGGGAATGAATAATAATAATAATAATACTTGCATTTGATGTAGCACCTTATCACGTCTTCGAGACATTTCAAAGCGCTTCACAGCATTTACTGTAAAGTGGGTTGACGATATTTTGTGGGCAAAACGCGGCAGCCAATTGCACACAGGAGTGTTCTACAAACAGTCGGGGATCGAGTGACCAAATTATTATTTTTGAAGAGATTATTAACCCCGGAAAAGCGATCCGCCAATCAATTAACAACCGGGTTCCTACTTACTGTTAGATAAACAGGCGTGTGGAGTAAGGAACTTGCCTAACGTTTCACCTTGCTCGGGAATCGAACCTAGGTCCACTCGCTTGCAGAAACCATGAGGGAAGTGTGTGTACTCCCAGTTGTCAGTTGGCCCAACGCATTGGTGGGGAGGTGCCGTCTTTTGAATGAAACATTAAACCGAGGAGGTCCTGTCTGCCCGTTCAGTTGGATGTTAAAGATCCTGCGGCTATTGGAAAAGAGAAGGGGGTTTCTCTCTTCCAGTGTCCGGGCCAACAATCCCCGAAATAAAACTGGTCACTAACTTCATGGTTGTTTGTGGGATATTGCTGTGTGAAAATTGACTGCAATTTTCATCTACAAAATACCGCAGTCACTACACTTTACAGTATATCCCGTGAAGTGCTTTGAGATATTCTCCGGACTTGAAAGGCAGCTGCATCAAATGTTATCTGCATCTATTTTCAACGTGTAATGCCAGCTCCTTCCAGTGGTGATAAAGGTATATTGCACAGTGGAACTGGGACATTGAAATAATAAGAATAATAATCCTTGCAATTGCTATAGCGCCTTATTACATTGTTGAAACTTCTCAAAGTGCTTCACAGAATATAGTGTAAAGTGAATTGATTGTATATTTTGTGGGCGAATCGCTACAGCTAATTGTGCAAAGCAGTCTCCCGCAACGTGATTGAGTGGCCAAATCATTATTATTTTAAATTTATTTTTTTGAAGGGGTCATTACCCCTGGAAAAACGATCCGCCAGTCGACTAACAACTGGGTTCCTAGGTAAACACAGGCATGTGGAGTAAAGAAACTTGCCCAACGTTTCGCCCTGCCGGGAATCAAACCCAGGTCCTCTTGCTTGTGAGGCGAGCGCTCTAACCACTGAGCTACAAGTCTCCGTCATGTCTTTATCATGAATTGCTTTTCCCCCACCCTCTTCCCCAGCAGCGTGCTAACCCCACTGGGAGTGTGGCGAATCTTCCCCAGTTTTTATTCTGAAAAATTATCCTCTCTCACCTGTCAGCTTTATGGCTCCTTGTTCATCCAGTAAAATATTTTCACACTTCAGGTCTCTGTGTAAAGACAAATTATTACCAGTATCAATCACTCACCTTAATATCTGTGTCACTGTGTGACCAGGATAGGAAGGTCTGTGACAGCATTCCAGGCCTAGCCATGGTATAAAGCTCCCTCTACACTGTGTGTCCACACTCCCAGGTCAGGGTTAGAGACACAGTAAAGCTGCCTCTACGCTGTCCATCCACACTCCCAGGTCAGCTACACATGTAATACACAATCAATACACTTGACAGCAATTCTCAGTTAAGCACTTTGACGTGTTAAGCGCAGTACCGAATGCAAGGTGGGTTATTAAAACAACAAGTTGCATTTATATAGAGCCCCTCGCGTAGGTTAACGTCCCAGAGTGCTTAAAACTTGGGACCGGGCAACAGGTGAATTTGGTCCTTTGTCCCATTTGATTTCCCTGCCAATAACTCCCCTCCCAATACAACATTCAGCTATTTCTTACATGAGTCCCAGTCTCCTGGCCACAACCACCTTTCCTGGTTTCCCCCCTTCTAGCTTTTATTAAAAAAAACCTTCCTGGCGTCATGACTTCAATCTTCCCCTCACACGTGTGACCCTTCAGCCAGGCTCCTCATTGCGCGGATGCTTTGCTCTGGCCCCTGGTACCTGTGGACGATGTGATTGGTGTGACAGTGTGCCACGCCGCTGACCAGCTGGTGGAAGAGGTGCTGAGCCTCCTCCTCCCTCAGCCCCAGGTCCCGCTTGTTGGTGGCGATCCTGTTAATGTGGTCCAACAAGTCTCCTTTACATGCCAGCTCCAACACCAGGAACAGCTGGCTCGGGGAGCGAAAGGTCTCATACAGCTGGATCTGGGAAGGGTGAGAGGAACGAGAGGGACGTTTCAAATTAGTACACAGGAAGGAAAGAACAGGAAATGGAAAAACATAAACTAAACTTCTACAGCACCTTGCTTGTCGGGAGGACTTCTCAAGACGCTGGACAGTCAGGGATTTGGACCCGAACGGGCACGGAGGGATTTGAAGACGAGTGAGCGGATCTTGAAATCGATCCTGTACGGCCAGCGCTGCCTTTGCCCACCTGCCTATCACGAGGGGTTGTGACAATGAAGAGTTAAATGAGAAGCCATGGAGGCACTGAGCGTCTAGGATATGGGGGCTTTTCAAGGTCCAGTGAAACAAGCATCTATATCTGTGCCAATGACTGGCCATTCTGCACCCAACCTTTGGAACTTCATCCCGCAGTCCCTCCGTCTCGCCCCCTCCTTCGCCACCTTCAAGACCCACCTCAAGACCCTACTCTTCAACTGTGCTTTCGATCTCTCTGCTTCCCGCCCACCCTCCCCCACCCCGACCCTCAGCTTGGGTCCGTAACTCTGTCTGCCCAGCGCCTTGGGACGTCCTCCCAACGTGAAAGGCGCTATACAAATGTGTTGTTGTTGCTGTTGAGGGTCATAATTCCTGTGTCTGAAGCAGGTGCCCCACTGTATGTTACTGAGTGGCTGAAAAACTCAGCACTTTTCCTTTTGTGGGACGCTGCTGTACCAATTGGCTGCCATGTTTCGCCCACAACAATACACAGTCAGTCCACTTTACAGTATATCCTGTGAAGCACTTTGAGACGTCTCGAAGACCAGATAAGGCGCTATATCAAATACAAGGAATATTATTATTATAATTCCTTCAAAAAATAATAATAATAATTTGTTCACTCAATCCACGACTGTTTGTGGGCCCCAGCTGTGCGCAATTGGCTGCCGGGTTTCACTCACAAAATATAGTCAATTCACTTTACACTATATTCTGTGAAGCGCTTTGAGACGTCTCGAAGATATGATAAAGTGCTATATCAAATGTGAGGATCATTATTATTGTTGTGGTTGAGAAGGAGAAATTTAGTGGGAAACATTTCAGGTGTGAAAAGTAAGTCCTGAAAGTCCTACCACGTTGGGGTGCTTGTAGGTAGCATGTAAGGCATTGATCTCTCTGCTCAGGAACCTGCGGGACTGTTGGTAGGGATTCTGAGAGATATTCACAATTTTGATAGCGACCTAAGGAGAGGAGAAAGAACGAGAGAAAGGACTTTTTTTAATCAAACCTTCCTGACTTTTTCCATCAGGTTCAAATTCAAATTGAATGCTCAATTTTTATTTGTTTGAGGCATCAAAGTGTAGCAACTAATCATTTCGCCCACAAAATACACAGTCAATTCACTTTACAGTTTGAAGCGCTTTTAGACATCTCAAAGACGTGATAAGACGCTATATCAACTGCAAGGATTATTATTATTATCAGGTACACTGATTGTTTTTGCAGCCATTTTACGCACAGCAAGTTTGGAAGATTAATTAACCAGGACACCGGAAGAAACTAACTAACTTCATGGGATCTTTAACATCTACAAGCCTTAGATAAGGTCTTAGTTTTAGTTTTAATGCCTCACCTGAAAGACGCCAACTCTGACAATACATTGGAAGATCCCCCAATACTGCGCTGGAGTATCAGCCTGGACGGTGAGCTCAACTTGTGATTGAACCCACACACCCGATAACTGACTATCGTGGTTTTCAGTCACTGGGGGCAGGCACTCAGCTCCTGTTAACTCTACAAGCCAAAGCCCCAACGGGTAGGGTGGTCCAAGCTTGCCAGACAGTGCTCTAAATGGTAAGCTGTGTGGTTTTAGCTGTTTAGACTCCAGCAGTCACCCCAAACCTTGGCTCTTGCCAACCTGCGCCTAATACTCTCCGGAATTAGGTAAGCAGGATGCGTCCCTCCAGGGAGAGAGAAATCTCTGGGATTTCCATGTGTAGGTGGGATGCATGGAATTCTCGCTTTGGTTTGGAGACTCTTAAGCAGGGTGATGGGTTTCCACACGTGTCAGACACCGGCTGAGCAAAAACAAACTAAGCCATTGCGTACTGGACAGCCAGTGGACAAATGGCAGCAGGTTATGAATAATCTTACCACCTGCCCACATCAGAGCCAAAAGTTTGAGGTTTGGTGAGAGATCCGGCGGTGGAAGCCTATTGCCGGCTCCTGAACACTCACCATCTTGTTCCTCTTGGTCTGGAGGCCAGAAGCCAGGCGGAAGTTACGCTTCATTACTTCCTGGGTCGGGAGGCCCAGGTAAACGCTGGAAAAGCCTCCCGTCCCGATCCTCTTGGAGGTCAGCAGGTATCCGTGCACCTCGCACTCCTTCACCTCGTCCACGGTGATCCTGTCTGTCTCCGAGGGCCTAGCTCTCGTGTCCGTCATTGCCAGCGGACATTCAGAGCAGCCACAACAAGAAAGGGGGAGAGAGAGAGAGAGAGAGAGAGAAAAACTCAACTGAACCCTGGCTGGCTCTTCATTTCTAAGAAATAGTTGTATTGAAATGCCATCATGACTGGGGGGGGGTGGGGGGAGTTATCTTGCTCTCTCAGTCCAGGACACGATGGTGTTCGGCTCACGTCTTGTGTGCGTGTGTGTGGTTTTTTTTTTGTCCCGAGACCTGAGCTGTGAGTTATCTCTGAGACCCGTAGAGAGCTTCTGCTGCAGAACCTGAGGGCGTCTGAGGTTCCACATTCCAGTCACGTTCTGTGATCTCACAGGGCTCCCTCGGCTCAGTCACACTCAGTCCGGCCTCAGAGGGGGCCACGGGGTAAGAAACCTTAGCAGTAGGAGGAGGCCATTCAGCCCCTCGAGCCTGTCCTGCCATTCTATAAGATCACGGCTGATCTGTACCTCAACTCCAATCGCCCGCCCTTGCCCCGTGTCCCTTGATACCCCGACCTAACACATATCTCTCCACCTCAGTCTTGACAATGCGAATGGACCCGGCCCGCTTCAGAACGCATGAGTTGTGATCCTCAGGTAGTGATCGGCACAGAGACGGAGGCTTGTTTCGCAACTCACTGGACCTTGAAAAGCCCCCATATCGTCGATGCTGACGTGGCTGGTCATTTGACTCTTCATTGTCGCAAACGGGGTCTCCTTGGAGCTGAAGAGGCTCCAAGGTGACATCCTTGGCATTGGAATATCGGAATCGAGCCACCCCTCTGTGACGGTCTCTGATCCGGGTCCTGAGACAGGCGAGTCCGTAGTATTCCAATTCACTGCTGATGGCAACACAGGTCAGGTTGGCTCATCTGTAGGACCTGGAAGGGCAAACCCCTTGGTGGCAGGGAGTCATCCCACTCAATTCCTGTTAACCCTGCAAGCCAAGGCCCTAACGGGTATGATGGTCTTAGCTGGACAAGCAGTGGGAAAGCTTGCCGGACAGCGTTATCAATAGCAATCCATGTGGTTTTAGCTGGTTAGACACCATTAGTACACCACTGCACACTCTGGGGTCCCTAAGCCTTGGCTCTTGCCAACCTGCGCGTAATACTCCTCGGAATTTGAGAAGCAGGATGCATCCCTCCAGGGAGAGCGTTCATGTTCCATTCCAACAATCTATCTCTGGATTTCCAATTGGGTTTAGGTGGGCTGCATGGAAATCTCAGTTTGGTTTGGATACTCTTAAGCAGGTCCGTTGCTCAGGGGAGAGAGGATTCCATTCCAGACACAAGGAAATTTAATAATAATACCTGCATTTGATATTGCGCCTTATCATGTCGTTGAGACGTTTCAAAGCGATTCACAGGATATACTGCAAAGTGGATTGACAATGGTCGAAACAAGGCAGCCAGTTGCCCACAGCAGTGTCCCACAAACATTCATGGAGTGAGTGACCAGGATTGTTGGCCAGGACAAGGGGAGAGTGAAACTCTCTTCTCTTTTCGAATAATGCCATGGGATCTTTAATATCCACTTCATCAGGTACTCGGGACCTCGGTTGAACATCTCATCTGAAGTGGTATCTCAAGCACTCCGGGACGCTACCCCGTGTGAAGGGCGCTATGCACATGCAAGTCGTTGTTCTTGTTGACGATGCAGAACACCCCTAGCATTGTATTGGAGCGTCAGCTTACACTGTTTGATTCCAAGTCCCGACGTGGAGCTTGAACCCACAACCTTCTGACTCAGATGCGAGAGTGCTACTGTCAGAGACACCCAAAACCACTTAGCAATGAAAGAGCTAACTAATTAAACCAATCACTCACTTTGAGAAAAAAACATTTCAACAAGATTACAACAACTTGATATGTTTTAGTGAACAATAAAGAAATGAGATAGCAACGGTAAATAACTGATTATACAACAATACTAACTAACCCCATAAACATGTGGTGTTGACACCAAACAATAAATCACAATGATCACATGAGTATTGGAGAAAAACATTGGTGATCATGTTAAATCTAATCTAAAAAAAACACGAGACCTGTGACTCAATGATGATACATGGAAAAAAGATAATAAAGACCAACGATTGGAAGTAGTGGGGGCAGACTTAGGAGGAATGGTCCCGAGGTATGTTTACCTCTGTTTGCCTAACAGTAAGTAGGATCCTGGTTGTTAGTTGATAATAATAATAATAATCCTTGCATTTGATATAGCGCTTTTCACGTCTTCTCGACGTCTCAAAGCGCTTCACAGAATATGCTGTAACATGAACTGACTGCATATTTGTGGGCGAAACGTGGCAGCCAATTGCGCAAAGCAGCGTCCCACAAACAATCGTGGATTGAAAATGACCGATTTATTATTGTTTTGTTTTGGAGGGATTATTAATGGGTGTGTGGAGTAAGGAAACTTGCCCAAGGTTTCACCCTCTGCCTGGAATTGAACCCAGTGTCTCGCTTGCAAGGTGAGTGCTCTAACCACTGAGCTACAGGACTGATGCACCAGGCTGACACGGGGAAATTTCCACTTGTAGGTGGCATAAATATGTTTAACTCTCCGGTCTGGTTTGAATATTCTTAAGCGTGGTGATGGGTTTCCGCATGTGCCAGACCCCAGGCTGACAAACAAGAATCAGACCGACTGGTTAATGACAGGGAAATGAAACACAGGGACTCTAGTGGAGTTTTCATCATTGAATATTACAGCACAGAAGGAGGCCATTTGGCCCATCGTGCCTGTGCCGGCTCTTTGAGAGAGCTACCAACTAGTCCCACTCACCAACTAGAGCTACCAACTAGTCCCACTGAGATAGAGTGAATCTATCTCACTCCATAGATTTGCAATTTTTTTTCCTTTTTAAGTCCCTATCCAATTCCTTTTTGAAAGCTATTATCGAATCTGCTTCCACCACCCTTTTAGGTTGTGCATTCCAGACCGTAACAACTCTTTTGCCAATTATCTAAAATCTGTGAGCTCTGGTTACCGATCCACCCACCAGAGGAAACAGCTTCTCCTTATTTAATCTATCAAAAACCGCTCATAATTTCAAGCACCTTTATTAAATCTCCCCTCAACCTTCTCTGCTCTAAGGAGAATAATCGCGGCCTCTCTAGTCTCACCACATAACTCAGCTCCCTCATCTCTGGTATCATTCTTTTTATCTATTAAAGTGGTACTGCCACTAATGGTGAAATATCTGAAAGTGCTTTGCAGGAATTGCTTTTGTTGGCAAATGCAGAGGCAATGTTTCACACAC